AAAAAAATATTTTTTCTTAAAAGAAATTTATAATTTTCTGAGTAAATAATAAAAAGAAACTACAAAATCATTGAATTTTCAGCTCGCTATGATTTTTCCAAGTCATATATATCTCCTCTTTATTTCTAACCTCCCTAACTCTGTCAGTTTTAATAATAGTAAAAAATGTCAAATATAATTTTTATGTAACACTTTATGCTTTACAATTTTTATACAGAATTTTTTTTATAGCACCTACCGTTTTTATATAACCTTTAAAACACTTAATTTTCTTGTTCTTTGACATTTACCGGTGCCTTAAAAACAATTTTTTTTACATATTTTTTTCAAATACTCCAAAATTTTGATTTAAAGGTCTATTTGATTGGACTATTATTTTAGAGGAATAATAGTTTCAAACGAAGGATAAAGAAAATCTTTGTTGCCTAGAAAGTCGTTTAAAATTTTCACATTTTTTTGTTTCTACAATATACAGTGTGAAAGAAAAATAGCAAATCTCTAAGTCGGTGTCACAGGTCCTCGTGGTACCAAAAAATGTCGAAAAATTTCGTTATAGTATGATTTTTTAATATATTTATCGAGAGATGATATTTTAATTTTCTGCCTGACACATCCTAAGGGTCTTAACAGTAAAAGACCAGGCATGACTACAAGCGAAAGTCCTAGTCAGAATATTAATTGGGATTATCTATGAAGTCAATAAGGAAAATGTCTGCACCTTATAGAAATTTTTTTGATTATTCATATCTCAGAAAATTGTATTCTTGATAAAAGTTAGACCTATAGTCTCAGTAAAAGTGGGGATATAACGTCACATTCCATATGCGTACTTTGCAAAATTAGTTTCTATAATATAAATAAGTCACGGCATATCAAATGGTATATACGCACTTCGTAGCTTAAATTTTGAAAGAAAAAAGTTATATTATTTACACAAAATAAAAATAAACCTTATGCTTTTGACAAAATTGTTGCACATAACATTGAACGAATTAAATTTAAGCAATAAATAACTATGTGTTGTTAATGGGATTACACTTTTATTAATCTCTTGGCATTAAAACTAACACTTCAGTACCTAAAATCAAAGATTAAAAAAAAATATAAGTTCATGAACTATCTTTAGAAGTCACTTTCTTCACTATAAATACTAGTATCATTATCATTATCTTTTCTGAATTATTATAGGGTTTATTAAGTTTTCCATTGCTACATCCACTTTCCAAAATGAATTTTCCACCTTTTAACGTGATCAATGCATTTTCTCCAATGTTCTCCATTTACATCTGAAACTGTCTTTAAAAACAAATTTCGCACATCAGGTAATTTAAATGTTGTGTTGTTTCCAGAAACATAACCTTTTAATTGTGACCAGATCAGTTCAATGGGATTTAACTCTGCGTGGTAAGGAGGCAATCTGGGTAATTTTGCCTTCTATGATCTAGGAGGACTGATAATATTTTTAAAATGAAGCCATTTTGAAATATCTTCTTTTTTCCATCTTGTTGTAGGTAGTGACTCCTTTAATCAACTGTGATAGGATGCATTATCCAAAACAATAACGTCTAAAGAAACACCATATTACTTATTTAAAAAAAATAATATTTTAAAAATTGGCACCTGTTAAGGCTCCTACTATTTAAAGATTTTGCCAATTCCAACATTGGAACAGTTTCAATGGTATCCTTAAGTTTTCATTTTACTAAAATAAAAAGACAATAGTCATTACTACCAGCAACTTAATTTTTTAAATAAAATGTGAGCCAAAAAATAGAGTTAGTAACGATTGACAAAAAGGGAGAAATCATCCATTTCTGTGATGCCGACTCACGCCTCTGAATGAAATCCTAATTTTCATTTTAATAATAATTGTTCCCTGTAAGTCCCAACAAAAGTAATTTATTCGATGGATCACTTCTAATTTTATTATACACATATAAAATCAGACCTGTCTTGAGTAATCACAGAAAAACTTAAAGTATACTAGATGCTCTGATCGAAATTGAAAATTTAGTTTTTCTTCGTAGGTCTAAAACCTAACATTTTAATACTAATTTTATGACAAAATCTTCCATAGGCCATATAAAGTTATAATAGAATAAATAGAAGAGCCGGAAGTGGCAGGTACGATTCATATTTACTCCGACGGTTCTAAAACAAAATAAGGCTCAGGATGCGGAATATACTTCAGATTCTTAAACCTAAACATAAAATGGGCTGTGAGCAATAGTGCCAGTGTAGTTCAAACAGAGCTAACAGGGATTCTCATAGCAGCAAAAGAAATAACCAGAAACAATATCACTGGAAGGAACATGCTCATCTATACATATAGCATATACACATATAACAGACAAGCACTACTCACCCTGAACAGACCACGAATTTAATTAGGGTTAGTACTAGAAACTAGAATGTCACGATGCTATGGCCGAAGTATCCATCAACAATGTGGTCACCTTAAGATGGACCGAAGGTCATGCCATATCGAAAGGTAACCGTCTTGCTGATTCACTAGCCAAGAAAGCAGCCAACCAAATACTTTTTGGACCTGGCCTTTCTATTGGCCTGACAAAATCGGTAGTGACAGTCCTAATTAAAGAACATTCCCCTTGTGAAATTCAAGGAAACAAGAAACTGCAGAGTTGCCAAGGAGCTCTTAATTATCCTGACAACACTGCAGCAAATAAATACTTGACTATGACTAGACGGAATCTGCGCCTAGTCATAGGCATTCTAACTGGTTATTGCCAAGTACGAAAGCATCTCCATATCATCAGGTTGTCAGAAACCGCACTCTGCAGAGGGTGCGAACAAGAAGAGACTATCGAGCATATCCTTTACGATTGCTCGACGCTCTCATCTATTAGAATATTTGTGTTCGGCGAGTATCGGCTAACACCGGCCGATATAAGGGAAGGCGATGTTGTCAACTACATTATTATCTGTAGGCTGGTTCACGAGCTGGGAGGTGCCTATCATCTCAGGAGGATGCACAATGGGCCTAATGAGGCCTAAGTACCGTAGGGGTAACCCACCCTCCACACGTTACAGATACAGAGATAGATGACAAAATTGTTTGACTTTTTTAAAAGGTTATTTTTTAGTGTATTTAAATTGTAAAATTTAAGTGGTAAACTTTTTTATAACGTCTAATATGATGAAGAAATATTGTTACTAATTGACCGTAGAGGAAAAGTACTTTTATTACTAAACTCTTTTGATGGTAAATTCGAGATTTTCATAATTGACATTTGAAGAAAAAAATTTTTGTAGGGTGTAAAAAGAATGCATACATATCCTAATGACATTATAACCGTAATCTAACAACATTTTAATTTAAATCAACTATAATGTGACGACAGTCTAATTTATTTATAGTTTATTTATTTAAAACACACTATTTACAATTTATTTATGACGTACTATTTAATTTATATAATACTTAGACACTAACTAACAATTCTAATATATTTATTACAATTGAACTTTTCATTCCAATACTCTATACTAAACTGTCTATATACAACTCGCGATATTTATATCAAGCCACCTCTGTAATCAGAATACTCTAGACGGTGTGGAATGTCCCAGTCTTCCATCTCTATGACTCAACGTCACGTACCTACAGCTTGTTCTGGTATATTTGAGAAGCGTCTGATTGTCTCTATATTGCCAGCGCGCAGCTAGACTCCATGCCGCGGGAGTAAAAAAGGACAGGGTAGGCTTTCGCGCGACAATAATATGATCAAATTATGTCAAATGTCGAATACACGTCCCTATTATTGATAGACAACATGTGGTTTCAGCAGGACCGAGCAACAAGCAACGGACTGTATTATCTCCTGTAATGGCCAACCACAATTGGCCACAGAGATCGTGTGATCTGATACTATGCGACTTTTAGTTGTGATCTTTAGTGAAGTATCCCATATATTTCGATCAACCAAATAACTATAACTATGTAAATATTTTTGCTCCATTTTGCCATCTGAATTACTTAAAATTTCAAATTAGGCGGGTATTAATCACTGACACCCAGAATAAGTATAAACAAACTTAACGAAACTAGAGAAAATCGCATATTTCATGTTTAAAACAAATTTTTAAAATCGAATAATAAAATATCTCTTAAGATTTTAACTTCTCAATTTTAACTCTAATCTACATCTACGTCAATATTATTACATTGAAAAATATGTTGTCATGGAAAACTTTGAAATTACTTTAGGTATATTATGCAAATTAAATTATAGAAACTCTCGAGGTAGGTAACTTTCAGTTATATGAATAATGAGAAAGACGATATCGGGCTCATCTCATAATAGTTTGACTGGTTTCACATTTCCAATCATATGCTTTAATAAATGGTGACAACTCAATAGTCTCAATACACGTAATGAATATACGTAATAAATATGTGTAATGAATATACGTAATGAATATACGTAATGAATATACGTAATGAATATACGTAATGAATATACGTAATGAATATACGTAATGAATATACGTAATGAATATATATTTTTTTTTTTTTTTGGCATCGACTGTAAGCCATTTGCCACACACTCAAAACGGTATTTTTTTTTTTTTTTTTTTTATTAGATTATCATGTGGGTATGATACAAGTAATAATCTAGATCATGATATTATTTTCATTGACAAATTCTAATATTATGTCATAAATATTTTTATTAAAGGTTGCGAGTAAAGTAGTAATATTGAGAGGTGGATTGATATTAAATTTATTTAAATTAAATAATAGTTTGTTATTATTATATTTGCCACATTGAAAAAATATATGATTTAGATCTGCAGTTTCCCCATCCGCTTCACGTAATGAATATACGTAATGAATATGCGTAATGAATATACGTAATGAATATACGTAATGAATATACGTAATGAATATACGTAATGAATATACGTAATGTCTATACGTAATGAATATACTTAATGAATATAAGTGATAAGTTATTAATTTTTATTTTTTGTTTCAGTATTATGTACATACATACCATGACACAAAGATGCGAGACGTGGAACCCCACGTGTTCGCTATGGCCGAGGCTGCATACGCTTCCCTCCAAACTGACAACCCCGGAAAGAATCGTAACAACCAAAGTTTAGTGATAAGTGGTGAGAGCGGTGCAGGCAAAACAGAATCTACTAGGTTCATTCTTCAGTATCTATGTTCTGTGACCAGTGGAGTTTCCACCTGGGTGGAGCAGCAGATTCTGGAAGCCAATACCATTTTGGAAGCTTTTGGTAAGAACATACTAACTAATTGATATATTCCATTAAATATCTGCAAAATAACAAACTTTTATTCAAATATATTAAAACTTTTTACATCTTAAATAAATAATTTATATGAATAGACTATATAATGTATGTATATGCCCGGGGATCGGACCCAGCATTTGCCATCAGGATGGTAGAAGCCCATCAATTGGCTACTTCCTGTCAAACAACATCGACCATTTATATCGTAAGAGGTGACTAAAATTTAGTATCTAGAGACACCTCTCTACGGCGTTATCAACCAACAAGCTTTTTGACGTTCCTATAAGAACCCCATTCTTACTAACTTCCGTTTACACTCTATGTGTAAAATTTGTTTTTGAGTCCTAGCTAGAAGTAGAGGAAAATACTGAAGATAATTTTATTTTTGGAGAAACCAAAACGAAAAAATGTGAAACAAAGAAAAATCACTCAGAAAATAAAATAATTATATTATGGACATAGTGATGGGCGCCCCCACACGAGGGCAAGAGGGCGTTTGCCTCCCTAGATTTATGATTTTGGATTGCCATGGCTTTTGACTACAGTCTGCAGCGTTTTGAACCTGCCTATAAAACTTGCCACTTCCTGAAAATTTTTTGAATGGCTCCCATGGTAGTAAAATAAAATAAATCACTGGTTTAAGACATGGAGGAAGGATGGCTAAGCTAACTGGGACACGTTAGCAGGCGAAACAACAAGAAATAAATCACAGAACAGACGATGCTAAATGGAAAAGGGGGAGGTTGAGGAAACAATGATTCGAATTGGTGTTAAAGATTCGAAGAGCAAAATAGAACCAAATAAAAAAAACTGATAAATAAAATGAACAAATGAGCAGAAAAACATAGTCCTGTATCTGTTTCACTATTTATACAAATGTTTTTTTTTTCAATAATAATTTCTTTATATTAAACATTTATTTACAGGCAATGCAAAAACAGTCAGAAACGATAATTCAAGTAGGTTTGGAAAATTTATGCAAGTGTGTTTTGATTCGAGATGGATGATTGCAGGATGTATAGTGCAAGATTATTTATTAGAACAATCTAGGATTACCTTTCAAGGATCAGGAGAAAGGAATTACCATGTATTTTATCAACTAGTTGAAGAAGCCAAGGCAAGTATATTTTTTATTGGAACTATTTTAAGAACAATAATTATTATTTTTAATCATAATTTTTTTTGAATTGTACTATAAGGAATAATTATGATATCTGATAAATGTGGGATTTGTTCATGTTGTTATAAAAAATACAGGATGATAAATTCTTTAATTATTACTATTTTAAAAACAAAAATATGAAAATATATTTTCTTAGTGAGTTTATCATTATTGATTAACACTGGTTAAAATTGAATCATTACTTAGACGATGACAACTCAATTGATAATTTTATCTTTGATTTTAGTACAATCAAGAATTAGCTAAACAGCTCCACCTAAAAGATGCCAAATTTTATAATTACCTAAACCAGTCGGACTGCTTAAAAATCGAGGGAGACTCAAGAAGACTTGATAGTTTAATGTTGGCCTTTAACGTACTGCAAGTACCTGCGAACAAATGTAACGGAATATTTCAAACGTTGTCTGCCATTTTGTGGTTGGGCAATTTGACATTCGAAGACATCGACGGAGAGCGATGTCAATTGACCAAAGAGGATGAAAGTATCATAGATACTTTATCCAAATTGTTAGGATTAGAAGTAGATCATATTAGGCAAGTCGTGTTGATTAGACAGATCAATGTACGGGGGAATATTACTGAAATTCCGCTTAAACTGCAAGAGGTAAGAGTTTCTACGAAATTATTCCTGTCATTATATCTATTTTCTTCTTCATCCATTCCAATTCAAAAAAAAAAAACAAATATACAAGTGATTCTTTACAGTTCAATCAAAATAATTATGAAATCCTGACTCAGTAAATTCTGTCGATTATTAAATACAAATCAAATGAAATATAAAAAATTAGGATTGTCAAAACATAATGTCATTAATATGCAGATTCGGAAATAGAGTATTACGGATCTACATGAGATTAGAAAAGAAAACATATTTAAACGAGAACGCAATACTGTTTCGCCTCTAATATCAAGGGTTCAAAGCCAATAGGCAAAAGCAAAAGGAAAAAATAAATTTATTTCATTGAACAGTTTTTACTGCTTTCTATTAAAGTACTTTGAAATTACACATCTAAATATTGTTAACTGGTATTTCAGAAACCGATACATGAGAAAAAATGAATTTTTGTTCTAGCAAAAATATTACAAACCAATTTTGTTTCTTCGTTTGTCATATGTCACAGTTTCTGTGCAACACAAAAGCATATAAAGCATAAAATTTGTAGGATTTTTTTTTAATAAAGTTAGGATAAAAATGATAACTTGTCGCGTTAAGTTGTTTCAGGGTTTTTATTAAACTAAAAATAACACCTGAGCATTACAAGATAATAACATGTGTGATAACTCTTCGAAATTATTTAATAATCAGTAGAGTAAAAATCCAATAATTTCGACATATCTGAAGCAAATGTCAATTCAGAAAAAACGAAAAGCAATTCGTTTAATCATTATAAATTTTGTAATTAACACTTTCACTGCCTTATACACACGGATGTTCCTATACAGGCCGCGTGTATCTCTGTCGATACACAGGGTTCTATTTTGTTTTTTAGTCTGTGTATCCTTGGATCCCATGCGATCATTGAGTAGGGTATTTATATGGCCTGAGAAGGTGAAGTTTTAAATTTTAAATTTTTTATTACACGAATAAATATCAAAATTATACAAAGCAAGTTTTTATTGCAGTATCGAACAAAAAATAAGTTTGACAGATGAAGAAACTACATAAAAGTAAAAATAACACCAAATATTTTAAAACCTGAAACAAAATACATCATTAGCTATGGTGTATCTCCAACGATACTCGCGGCCTGGCTAAAGAAAATCTGGACAGGTCGCGTGTATCATAGGCGATACACATTTTCAAAATATCACAAAAAACAAAAAAAAAAAATAAATCAAGTCCAATCAAATAATATATGACATTTCTAAGTAATTTAACAGGAAAATTTAGAAAAAACCTATTGGCCTGAGGGTTGCCACGGCAGTAAAAGTGTTAAAAAACTGACCAAGTGCGAGTAGGACTCGCGCATGAATGGTTCCGCACCATCGTACAATATTTAATACTATGTAGGTATTTTTTAAATACTTTATTAAGATCAAGCAAAAAACACGTTTCTAGTAGGGGAGCCCCCTTTAAATTTTAATTTATTTCTATTTTCATTATTTGTTGTTATATTGGCACTAGAATGTGCATTCCTGTGAAAATTTCAACTGTCTACCTATTACAGATCATGAGATACAGCCCGCTAACAGAGGGTTGGCAGCGGAGACTTAGTAATAGGGTCCCGTTGGTTACCCTTCGGTGACGGAACCCTAAAATGGGTACGGATTCCTAAAATATATCTCCATAGCTAAACTTTCTTACTTGTCAGTTTTCAGTCTAGACCCTCGATATGTTGAAATAGGCCAAATAGGGATACAGTACATTCAGTTGAACATTGAGCTTTATCGTTGATTATATGGTCATATCAAGGGGTGAATTGCTTCCGAAATGCTTCTACCTTTTCACTCGAAATCACCGAAATCGATGCAAATTCTTTCAAGTCCATTTATACTTAAATCAAGATATTCATAATCGATAATGTCCGAAGGCAGTGATGAAGGTAATTTTAATTAATTAGTATTTAACAAGTTAATCTCAGTTTTTGGACAATTCCATTAGTTGAATAATCAATACGTTTAATTAATGCAGTTAAACAAAATTTACACAAATCCTTAGATATCTCAATTTAAGTATAAATGAAGTTAGGCCACTTTCAAAATAAACGGCTTATTTATAGATAATTCGTAGAAAATTATATACAAGATGTCCCAATAGTGTGTGAAAGTTCGATATATCCGTTATCAAATATCAAAAATGTTATTTACAAAAGTTGTATGTAATGTTAATACACACATTAAAAAATGAAAGAAGCATTGATAGTTATGATAATTTTATCTTTTATGTTAACTATGTTTAATCCAAATAACAGATGGGGGTAGAACTTTCTAATGCCGGATCTTGTACTAAAATAACTTTGCTGTTTGGAATTGTGAATGGTCTAAACATCCACCTACCTCATAAATATAAGTGTATGAGACATTTGTAATGTTTGTAGGCAAGGGAGAATCGCCATGCGATGGCAAAGGCCCTTTATTCCCGTACATTTGCATGGTTAATAAATCACATAAACAACTGCACAAATCCAGGTCAAGATTCGACGAGATTTATAGGCGTTTTAGACATATTTGGATTCGAGAATTTTGCCGTCAATTCGTTTGAACAATTGTGCATTAATTACACCAACGAAAAATTGCACAAATTTTTTAATCATTACGTTTTTGCATTGGAACAAGAAATAGTAAGTAAACTCTTCAAATATTACATTTTAAGTACTCTTTTCTACTCCCAGATGTACATTATCTACTTTTTTCATAAACTGCAGCATGAATATTCTAGAATGTATGTTAAAATTACCAATCGCATTTCATATTTATTTGTCATCTAACTATTCCTTTTTGAAATCTTAAATTATTCTCAATACATTTTTAACTTATTGAGATAAAATATAATTAAAAATGAGTAATTATCTTGAAGAATCGACAAATATTGAAAATCCGTGTTTTATTCACAAAAAACTAAATTTTAATAAAACTATCTAAAACCAAGTTTATTTTATAAATTCATAAATTCAAATTAATATTTAAAATACTTATTTTTTCTAAAAAGCTCTCAGTTTTAAAATGTAGATTTTGCAGATTTTTTTAGTGGGTCGTAGAAAAATAGACTACAACCCAAGTGGATTCTCTATATTGCACTCAAACGAGCCTACTTTACTGGGTTACACGCAGTTAAAAGGCCAAAAAATAGTTTTTTAACGTTTTTTTTTTTCTGAAAAGGGGGGTTCTTTGACAAATATAAGAAGTATTAATAAATGCAGTGGTAACTTTTAACATAATTTCGGCATTTTTCATTTTTAAAAATATTGATTTACGCTGCTCCTGTAGACGGTCTCCTGGAGGTCCTTCAAAAAAAGGTGTCTGACGGTGAGCAAGATATCTCGATTTGGATTATCTGAAATAAAAAAAAACTCGAAGATTCTATTAGTGGATAGATAATTCTAGGTATTAATCGAATGAAATAGACGAAATTTTGATTTTTCACAAAATGGAAGCTCCGATAAGAAAAAATTCCGGTTTTCGACCAAAACTGTTTCGTTTAATTGTTTAAAAAATTGTTTAAAAAAAATAATAACCGGAAATTTTATTCCTTCGATCAATCCGTGAAGAATATATCTGGGAAGGTTGTGCTAAAATTTCAGACCAATCAGTTAAACCGTTTTTGAGAAATCGTGCTCACCGACTTTCAAAACATCGTTTTGAGAAAAACGTCTTCAAAGTTTCAAAAGACGTTTACAGGCATCGCATCCTAATTTATCAGTAGTGGGGTAACGTTTGCGCACTGCTGACACACCTTCAAACGATCTTACTGGCTACTATTAAAGCTCAGTAGCGTATACTACTTTCGCTTAAAATAAATTTTCTAGGATTTTTAAAACGATCACGGTTAGATTAATCACAAAATTTTAAGAAAATTACCTAAAATTTTAATCCTGAATAACGGTCAAATCGAGTCCGTCCTCGTTTCTAAGAATGGCTATCATTTGATGGTATAGAAAATACCAGATTACCTATACAATTGATCAAACGCAATTTGTTAAAATTTATTTGTTATCTATGAGCTAAAATGTATTCTGTTAAAAAAATTTATTGGGTGAAAAAAAATGGTGATTTTGCACTTGATATCTTTAATATTTTAACAAAATGTGAGGGTGAAGTAGTAGTGGTGAAAGTCATCAGCATACAAATATTAAAATAAGACAACGAGGATTTTAAAAAAATATGTTATAGGTCAACAAATACTGAATTTATACTAACCTCTATTCCTTGTTGCTATAACTACTATCAAAGAAAATATACATAAACAAATTAACAGAGTTCTAAAAAATCATCAAAATCATCACTATCACTAGAACTATCACTGCTGTCTTCATTAACATTAATAATAAGTTATTACATGTGCACATCTTTTTTTCCAGTCTTCTTGGATTACTGATTTAAATTCAATTTCAGCTAACATTTGAACATGTGCTACTTTAAAATGAGTACTCATTATAGCCACATTATTTTTTAATATAGCGCAGATCATTTCTATTGGATTTAAGTCTGGGTGGTATGGTGGTAATCTCAAAACTGTATGACCGAGTTCAGAGAATAGTCTATCAAATTTGTATTTCTTGAATCTATTTTTCTGCTGTTTGATTAATGTGTACAGCTGTGTTCGTAATAAGGAAGGTTGAAATTCAATAGTGTTGGATGTCAACCAGTTTATCATTTCAGCTTTTCTTGAATTGGAATTCGGAGCAGGATTTTCTATAACATTGTGATACGCTGCATTATCCACAACTACAATAGCATTTGGTGGTAAATTTGGTATTAACAGTTCTCTTAGCCACTTTTCATAATTTTCTTGATTCATATCATTATGATAATCACCAGATTTGACCCCAGACACAAACATTAATAAACTGTTAGGAATAAAGCTCATGTTACCACCAGCATAAACTATGATAAGTCTTTTTCCTTTCGAAATGGTGTGGATAACAAACCTTTTGCATTATCATTACCCCAATTATGTGATGTTGTATGGCTACTATGTATATAAGTTTCATCAATATATATACAATGGGACGGTTTTGAGAACGAAAGTATCTAATTTTTTTAATATAATCAATTATTTTTTCCCTAATGTCAAGTAGTTCTATTAAAACCTGTCTGTTTCGCGTTTTTCGCCACTTGAACCCATTTTTTTTTTAAATAGTTCTTAATGATGTGTAGCTCCCTTTCCACTCCAATTCCTTTTTTGATTTTTCACTAAGAGTTTTGACTGTTAGCGCATACCTTCTGTTTCGTGAAATTTATGAACTATATCTCTGATTGTTCCAATATTATAGGATGGAATATCTGTTACACTTGATGTTCTTTTGCGCTTTTTGGGACTTTTAAACAAATGTTTAGGTATGGTCGACGTAGACTTTTCACCTTTTGATATCTCATCTTCTATAATTATTCGTTCAATTGTTTTTACCGAGTATCCTGTAGCTTCAGCAACTTGTTCTTTATTTTCAGTGAGTGTTTTGGGATCATCGTTCAGAACACATGGTCTAAAAGTTTCACTATCATCGTTTTCTTTTTGTTTTTTTTTTCAAAACTATTTGTTGCCGAGGAACATTTTTTTTTTTTTCATAAAATATTCGAATAGATGAAATATTATTTCCTTTGCTTAACTACCTAAATGCTTCGGCATTTTAACACAAGTAAGTCACTACTCAAAAGGAAACACTACAAACAAATAAAAATAAAATATAACTCAACCCCAACAACACGGCTATTGTTTGATCTCTCTTTAACAGTTACAGTAGGCGTTGACAATTGAAATTCGAGATTAACGCGCTCCCCTCTTCAGACAAATTAGGTTGCGATGCCTGTACATATTATTATTTTTTTTTTTCAACTTACATGGAGTCATCTATGCCAGGATCATAAGATGAACCTCTGCATCAGTCCTTGCAAATACGCGTATATCTTAAAGAATATTTGCCGGATTGATTTCAAATTTTAGAGAATATGCATTCCGAAAATGCAGTTAATTTTTTTTTAATTTCTAACTGCTTGTAACCTCTTAACTTCGTCTTTGTGCAAAAACTACTGCTTATTTAACTAACTGGTTCATTTTAATGTATTTTTTTTAGTATATTCAAGAAGAAATCCAATTTAATCATATAGCGTTTACCGATAACACTTTGTGTCTGGAATTATTAGAAAAACCACCTAGATGCGTTTTAAGACTGTTATCTGAACAGTGCCATTTACCAAGAGGTTGTGATGCTTCGTATATTTCTAATCTTCATTCGGAATTTGAAAGTCATGAGCGATATGTCAAAGGTAAAAGCAAGTATAATAAAATAATGCGATGAATTAGCGATGATGTGAAAAATGATTCTAAATACCTAGTTTTTGAACTTTTATTATTTCATTTATGTGGTTTTAGGTTTTCCTAAAGCAAGTAAATAATTCAGAAATTGTTCAAATTATCTAGGAAAGTTGTTACAGTGGTTACTTCAAGGATTATTCATATTTATAGAGATATATTCTTCGTATTATAAGAAATTTTTTTGTTTTTCTAGGTGAAGATAGGCGAAAATGGGAAACTGAGTTTGGAATCAAACATTACGCTGGCTGTGTAACTTATAATGTTAAGGGATTTGTAGACAAGAATAGAGACGTTCAACAGGATGTATTTTTTGATATTCTTTCTAGAAGTAGTAATGAGTTCGTTCAGGAATTGTATACATTTCAAGATCCTTCCAACACTTTAACACAGAAAACGGTTGTCAATGGAGTTTCTACAGTGTCCAGAGGTACGAGCAAGGGAAAACCTACAGTTTCAGATACGTTTAGACACCAACTTCAAGCTCTTGTTGATGTACTTCAGGTAATTTTTTTTTAATCCTTATTTATACTATTTATCTGAAATAGTAGTTATGTGTCCAATAGACTTATCAAACGGATAGCTAGAGATATTTCGTTTCTGAAAAATTCAACAAAAGTTATCCATTCTATAAGTCATCTTGTCATTTTGGTGAGATATGTATTCGATAAATATCTAACGTATGCCTTCATAATTTGACATTTCAAATAAATATATTTATTATTGTTTCTCGAATACCAGAAAAATAACAAATTAAACTCAATATAATGGATTATTCAAGCTCTTTCTTCGGATTCTTCTGATGAAGAAATATTAGCAATTATTGAAACGATAGACTTGTTCGCCATTTTCGTATTAGAAATGATCCATTTGAAGAATATAGTGACAAAGAATTTAGGGACCGTTTAAGATTTACCAAATATACTGTTAACTACTTGGTTGAATTAATTAACGACCATATTTTTCCTACGACTCAGCAAAATCGTTCTTTATCTACTAGAGAACTGTGAGAATTGTAAAAGTCTATCTAATAAGTTTTCAAAAGTCTTTATGATTTATTGGACACATAACTTTATCTGACCGATAGTTATTCTTTCAATAACAAAATGTACGAGAAACCGGCTATTAGTCATATACCTTTGGTTCTTTCCATTGCATTCTATCATTCTTCCATTAGTTAACTATTTTTCTTCAATAATTCTGATATGCGGAGGTTCATTAGTGATCCAAACACAATTGTTTATAGTCCAATGCCTTCTTTTTAAATTGTTATTATTTCATTTAAAGGAGTTCTCAGATAATGAATAGAGACACTAATTCTTTGAAATTGAAAATAAAAAAGAAAACACAAAAAAGGGAATAGAAAAGTAAGGTTCTATTAAATATGTATAAACAAAATCAAATAACAGATTTATTTTATTTATTTATTTACGGACGAAACCCAATTCGGTTTAAATATTAGGATATAATATAATAAAATACAATAGAATGTAATAACATACAATAAAATAGTACTTGTAAAAGTTAAGAAAAATATAAAATAAAAATGATGAAAAATAATTCACATGACATATTCGTAGTCTAGCATTTTCATTGATTTTTGGACTGTATCAGTGATTGGCAAAAGTTTGGGCACACTCATAAAACATAAGCGACAATCACTGCAGAAGAATGCCAGAGACCTTTTATGTATAACAACAGCTCGAAGTTCAGAAGCACATAAACCTGTGCAAGTTTCTGTCATGTGCATAGCTCCGTGACAACTGTCACAAATGACACATTTTTCATCAATTGGTCCCAGACTTTAAGATTCGCAGTAACAAATTTAAGCGTTTTTTTCCTGGACTATAGAAATAAATTCAAACTAATTACCTTTATCAGCACACTGTGTTATTAAAATTTTTTCAGGTTTTATTATTATTCCAACACAAATTATAATCAATAAGATTTAATCTAAATATTTAAATAATTTAAATGGACTTGATATGTGTTGATTCTACTTCCACAAAGAGGGTAATTAATATGTATATAGTGGAACAAACAACCAAATTTTTAGGCACAATGTAACCACTTTATTTTTACAAAACATGAGGAACAAACTAAAACAGCATCATTTAATATCATTCAATTTTATCTTTTGGCTTATTTTTATTTGACTCACTAACGTCACACTAGCTCAGAACATTATACGAAGTCACAAAGTTGCCAGATGTAATATGAATACTTTTTATACCTATTGTTTAAAACACGTAATTATTGCTTAACAATTACCACTCAAGCATTATTTATAGCTCGGGATAAATTAGATTTTCTCAGTGTCATAGTTGTATATTTTTTCTTCACAGAATCGGCAAATTAATTTTACCTTTTTTTTTCTCTTATTTTGTACTTACAGTAAGTTTGATCTCCGGGTACCAGAGCTGGGCAAAATACTTTTTAAAAGTATTTAAATACTAAATACTTTTTCATAAATACGAATATTTATATCTTAAATACTTTTCTAAAGCAAAAGGTATTTAAATAACAAATATCTACAGTATTTAAATACTTGTTTGGGATAAATATTTATACAAAAGTATTTAATTACTGAAAAGGTATTTAAATACATAAGAAGTATTTAAATACTATCATAATAATAAAACTATGTAATTTTCTTAAACGCCTAACACATAGCTAATACATACAACAGAAAAAAATATTATTTTGTCCTTTTAGTACGTTTAAAAAATTTGGTATGTTAAAAAATTTATACAGGGTATCCAAAAACTACACAAATTTCAAAGAAAAATGAGAAACAAATTTCATATAAATATATGTCACAAACGTCTTAACTGGTGGACATCATAATTTTGCATTGTGATTGAGTTTATATGTGTTTACCAAATTTCAGCTGATTCCGATAACATGAACTGGTTCAGCATTAAACAAATTTAGTTCTTAGAAGAAGTTCTGGGTAAAATACTTTATTAATATTAATAAAATAAAGTCTCTAGCTAATTGGAAGTTTGTTTAAAAGCAATTGCAAAATTTATATCGAACATACAGATATACATATATACAGGAAAGCGAGTTAATAAAAACGTGCTGAAGAACGTACTCTTACAAGTACACTGCAAGAAAAAATGCGTGTTACGCAGCAGTTTTTAAGGCAAAAAAGAGTGAATATTTTGCTTTTTAAATGTTTCAAACCTAAAACTTACGATTTTACCAAATGTTTGAGAAAATATGGGAATAAACCAACTAAATCTAGCCAAAAATGACCAATCAAAACCAGTAATAACGACTTTCGCTATTTTATTCAATCAGCTTAATGTCTTTCATCTGGCAACATTGTATAATTTTCGAAAAATGATGTTTGGATTTAGATATATTTTTTTAAATAGATTGCCACAGCCAGTGCATGAAAATTGTTTGCTAATGGATAAAAGTACTGCTTTTAATATTTTTTCTTGTATTTGTCATCCTACAGAAGGGCAATTTGTCATTTTTTACAACAAAATTCTTAAGGTGATTACAGCACTCCTTATAATTATCGGAGAAGCATATCTCAAAAAGTAATTTTTTTAAAAATTAAAATTATGGCAAAATAAATTAGGCAATAATATCTAGAATATTTATATATTTTAAAGTTGTAAATCCTTCCAAGAAAAAATATCATAATAAAAATAAATGCATTCCTGAACAGCACTATTCTTAATATAATTTTCAAATTTAAGCTCTTAATGTCTTGTTAATGATTTTTTAAAATTCGCCAAAATTAGTGGCTAAAACGCCTCGTTAAGTGCTATCTTCTGGTGTAAATCGTTGCAAGAAACGAATAAAACGATAGTTACAGACGCGTTATACCAGCAGCACTTAACGAGGCGTTCTAGCCAGTAATTTCGGCGAATTTTAAAAAATTATTAACAAGAGATTAGGAGCTTGAATTTGGAGATTATATTAAAAATAGTACTGTTGAGAAATTGATTTATTTTCATTATGATATTTCAAAATTTAAGGCTCTTTGACTTTTTTTCTTGGAAACTGGAAGGAATTAAAATTTTAAAATATATGCATATTCTAGATATTATTGCCAAATTTATTTTCCAAAATTTTTTTTTAAATTACTTTTTAAGATATGCTTTTCCGAAAATTATAAGAGGTGTTGTAATTTAAACCGCACAGACTTATTTAGAATTATAATATCCTTTCTTGTATAGACCTACTTTTAACTAATCATCTGTATCTCTAACATTTTTTAATTACTGTGTAAAATCACAAATCATAATAATAAATACTTACTTTGGTTTATTTCTTTTTTATTGTAACACAAATCACAACAGTCACAAACTTGACAACTAGCACAATAAAGAATCTTCTCTAACGCTTAAATACGAACTGATACTTCAGCACTTCATCCAGACTATTTCGCACGTTTGGTTTAATAACAAGTTGAAACTTTTGTTAAAACATATATTTTTATTTTTGACGTAAAAAGGTATTTAAATATCGGAAAAGTATTTAAATACTTGAAATGTATTTAAATACTGAAAAAGTATTTAAATACTTTAAATATACCAGCAATGTATTTAAAAATCAGAAAAGTATTTAAATACCAGGAAATTATTTAAATTCCTAAAAAGTATTTAGAATGTTTTGATAAATAAATACTAAATACTTACGATAGTATTTGCAGCTGCAAATACAAATACCGCTCATCCAAAAGTATTTAACTACTAAAAAGTATTTGCAAATATAAATACTGCCCAGCTCTGCCGGGTACCATATTATAATATAATCTAATTTTGGTTTTCCTACTTATATTCTTTGACTTCAGATAAAATATATTTTTTTATAAAAAAATTGTTTTAATCATGTATAATTTTAGTCGACAACTCCATGGTACGTTCGATGTATTAAACCCAATAAGCACAAGGTAGCTGATAGCTACGACGATCAGCTAGTGTTAGACCAGCTTAAATATTTAGGAATGTTAGACATTATAAGAATAAGAAAAGAGGGCTTCCCCATTCACATGAGCTTCGAAGATTTCGTGATAAGGTACCATTGCCTTTCCAAGAACCGTTTACCTCCAGACATGCTAAAAGCTTGTCTGAATCTTATAGAAAGTCACAACGTACCAAAAACGGAATGGCAGTTAGGGAAAACGAAAGTTTTCATGAGACCCCACGTCCACGAACCTTTAGAAGAAGCCAGAAATAAACTGGTTAGATCTCGGGCTATTCTCATTCAAAAAACGTACCGAATGTATGTAAAAAGAAAAGAATTTATAAAAGTTCGGAATGCCATACTAAATATTCAACATGCATATAAAGGTTGGAAATTGAGAATTGATTTCTTGAGGAAACGAAGGGCGGCCGTTGTTATACAGAGCCACTTGAGAGGAGCTTTTGCTAGGGAAGTAGCAGCTGCTTTGAGAGAAATGAGGCGAGTAGAAGAAGAAATGAGGAAACGAGAAAAAATGGAAGAAGAAAGGAAGCAAAGAGAAGCTGAAAGGGCAGAAAGGAAAAGAAAAGAAGAAGATGAAGCCAGACGATTAATAGAAGAAAACAAAATGAATGATCTTCCACCTCCGCCATCATTTGCTCAAGAAACTGAAGATTTGGAAAGAAGCGAAAAGTAAGCAGTTCATTCACATTAGAGGGTGAGTTGTTTTAATAGTTTTTTGTTGTTGTAGAGCTGCAGAACAAGAAATAGCAGCACTTTCACAGATGGCTGAACAACTTAAACACAATAGACCTGAACTTCCCACAGAATCGGTCGATTTAGACAACTTATTTGCGTTTCTGTCTGATGTACAACCAAATAATCGCAATCATATTATTGAAGAAATTGGTGAAAAAATGGATGAGTTGGTAGAAGATTTAGATGTTGAATTGGAAACGGTCATTCAACAAGAACTGGAAGGACTTGCTCAAGAACAGCAACTACCTACGCCTCCTAAAATGGGTCTTCCTACCCTTCCAGAACCTACAGGGCCGCCACCACCACCTCCTCCAATAGATTTTCAAGTAAGCAATAATATTAATAATGCTATTTGGTGATATATCTTTAAGCAGTGTTTTTTATTTTTTCATAACTCTCAAATCATTTTTAGGTAAATCCAGAGCCTCCACCGGTTTTGGTTGAAGTAGAGATAAAAACTAACAACGATGAGCCAATCTATGAGGCAGTGTTGCCAAGAGAGGAGCCTGTACCTGTTTGCGTATCTCCCCCTCCACTTCCAGCACCACCTAGTCGCTTAGCTTCTGAATCTCCTAAGCCTACTCCTCCGATATCTAGATCAAACAGTGGCGTGGTAAGTAAATACAATGAAGAATATTAAAAAAAATAAATAGTAATTTTAAGATATTTTTTAAAGTGTCTGGTAGATTGCTTTGTAGGGACCCGTTGTTTTATTATTTAAAAACTTCCCATTGGTAATATCTCCTAATAAAAAAGAATATCAAAAATTGCTTGAAACAGGTAGATTTTTATTCAAAGATGGACACCTTTCTATCATATTCTCAAATGTCATGCGTCCATTCCCCTCCCTTCCGTCACACTATAACCAATACAATTTAAGAAAGTGCAAAGTAAGACACGTCATTGAAAAGATAATTTTATGGAGAATTCAGCAATATGACTGTTAATGCGTTACTTTTGATTTTAGCGCCCTCTAGCGGAATAAAAACTAATATAATATTGTAAGATGTGACACTTCATTTAAAAGCTAATTTTAATTAGTAATTTAATGCATAACATAACAAAACAATTTAAAAATTGCAAATTTAATACATCATAGATCGCAAATCGAAATCCGAAAGGTTAGACTTATCTGAAATAAGATTAATTTTAAAAATTCGGAAACAAATCTCAAAAATCCCCTTACGAATTATTAGGACCATCCTAGGAACCCCAAAGGTGAAAATAAATACTTGGTGATTTGAAACAAAAAGCCGGTCGCCGCCGCAATTCAAACCCAGACATCTTTGTTCTGTACACAAATGCCCCTACTACTAAACCATGACGACATTGGCTGTCGAGATTCCTAGACAGCAATTTGATGTACTAGTTCGGGGCAGACGCGGTTTCAGGCTCGTTCTCAAATCTTCAAATACCTCTATACAGCATCGATATATATGAAAAATGCATTGATGCATACTAAGCCCATATCTTAGTCTACGTGAGTTAGGTTTTCAGACGCCATATAGAGGTATTTGAAGATTTAAGAACGAATTAGTACATCAAATAGTACATCAAATTGCTGTCTAGGAGTCTTGACAGTCAATGTCGTCATGGTCTAGCGGCAAGGAATTTATGTATATAACAAGAGTTCAAACCACGGCTTTTTTTCAAATCTTCAAGTATTTATTTTCACCTTTGTGGTCGGAGTTTTTTTCGAATTTTAAAAATTATTCTAATACATAACTTAATGAAACATAATTTAAATAACAAAAATGTTGCCATTAATGTTAGGATCAAATCAATTTAACTTTGAACATAATAATAGCAATTTTATGTTAAGATGGTCCAAACAACATTTTACCATTATGTTTAAATCTGAAACCCAAAATTCTTGACTACAAGGTAACCTCAAAGTTTTGGAAGGTGGTTCTTGCTTGTTATATCCTGCATAGCATCTCTTATTCTGGATCACATTATTTGTTAACATTGCCATTTAAATTTATCGACTTGATTACTATATTGTACATTATTGTCTACAGTTCTAGAATTTGAAAAAAGAACATTAAGTTCTTTATTCATACCCATCTTGCCTGGGCATCGGGATGTTGTTTGGTTTTAAATCTCTACTAATTTCTTGTAATGACTTCATCGCTCTCTGTTCGTTTCTACAGGTTTTATTCGGCCTTCCTCCCTTATTGTCTTGTTTACGTTTGACTTCAGTGCCCTTTTTCTTTAAATATTTCTCTCTCTTTTAATGTGCTCGTTTGAGGTGTAAGTAACACAATTTACTCTTATGTTTGTTTTCCTTTATCTTAAATATTACAAAGGAATCACAGAAACCTTAAACTTATTGTTATTTTATTAACTATAAAGGAACTGTACTATAACTTGTTCAAACCTGATTTTTATTGGAAAAATATGACTAAGATTTTAATAAATTTCTCTCTTTTGTAGCACCCTACCTGGAGGTATTCTCAGGAGCACCCACAACAAATTCCTCAGCTTCAAGATATTCCGAACATAGAGCGAGAACAAAGACGTAAATTCCGCGTAGAGAAAAAACTACAAGAACTCAACGAAAATAACGAAAAAGAAAACGTAACTGTCGAAGAAGTGCATTTTGATATGGTGGAATTTGCAAATAGTTACTTTAACGCGCATGAAAGGAGTCCCGAGGGTACGATAATGGCGACGTTGACGAGAAAACGGCAAAGTTCTGAAATGATACCGAAAAGTGAAATGGTTTCTTTCTATAAAGGAAATTCCATTCCCAATTCGCATATTCATCTATATGACCCGGACAATATTAATATCGCCTGCAGTATTTTCAGGGTAAGATGCAACTGAATTTATTAATAGCAAAATGTAAATCTAAAATATCAGAAATCATAAGTATACCAGTTCTTTATTTGTAAGTACGGCTTACCCAAAGTAGCTCTGTTGTTGAGCCATATATTAAAACAATAGAAAGGAAAATTATTTCAAGCTCAAATGTGATTAAGACGTAAAATAAAGAAAAACAAGAAAATCTCAGACGACCGTTTTCCTCTATAAAACTACTTCTTCGGCTAATACTGCAACAGGCATCGAATTATATTCAAATAAAAATAGCAGAGATAGAATAGTTATTTATGATATAAGTGCTAAAAGTGATATTTTATTTTGTGAGAAGGGTAGTTTGGAACACGACGCCGAAGGCGAAGTGTCCCATCCTTTCAAACAAAATAAAATCACTTTTAGCACCCAAAACGGTCTCGTCACGTCTGAACACATTTCGGTAGAGGCGACAGACAACATCAGATTTAGTGTGGCAATATTTGCCGCTTCACTGGTGTCTCGGTCTCCTGTCGTTTGTCGCGCGGTCCCAAATAATGGTGCCTTTATAGTTCTTTCTCTTTAGTTGCCTTCAGTCTAGATCCCCAGTGAGTATATTTTGCATTAAAGTCTCCTCCCAATATGAATATATATCTTTGGTTATCCAGGAAGTCAACATATTGATCCTTCTTTATAGCATGGCTTGGTGGGCTATATAAAGTATTACGATTTTGTAATATAAGGCCGTTCAAATATTACGTAAGTAGATTTATTACAATTATTTACCCCCCCAGCCCCCTTGTCAGCAAAAGTTAGCAAAGCTCTTACCTCCTCCCCCCATGCTTACGTAAACAGTTTTCAATTATAAATAAATTTTTTGTATATTATAATTACAATGTTATAATTATAATTTTAAAAATAAAAAAATAGATTTAGGATAGATATTAGATTTTACTGATACAGTATTCAACATAGAGTAAGGGACAAAAATATTATAATCTTACGAACATAATAAACTTATTTTAAATTTGTGGTACACATATTAAATTCAAATTAATAGTCTTCAGTCCATGAAACCCTCTAAGTTTTCGATGACATTGGATTGCTTCGATTGCTGCTCAGTGTTATGAGTCTGCTCACTTTCATTCGATTTTGGAATGTCTACGTAGTTCTCATCGAGCCATTCAACATCATGGTGCTCTAAATTTTGAATAATGCACATCAGTTCATTAGCTCGACGAGCAGCGACTCTTACAGGTCTAACTTTTCTATCAGTGTGCGTGTTTACTTTTTTATGGATCTTCTCGATGTGACGATTTAGTGACTTGACGGAAGCATGATAAAGACCATACGTTTCGCATGTTCGACTTGATAGCCTCAATTTTACCATCGGACAAAAATAATCGTAGGGCATTTTCAGGAAATCTGAGTGAAGCGCTTAAGCGTGGAGCTAAATTGACTGGAAGATCAAAAAATTGCCCTCCTTAATCCAAAACCAAGTCATCAACTGTTTGTTTTACTTTTACAGGTGGTGGAAGAAACCTGTTGTCTAGTAATCTGAACAGACCACTTCTTGGACGACAGCATTCTGTATTTCTACATTTTACAATTTGACGCAAGTATTGGCTTTCACGCTCATGTTCTGAATACCATTTAATGTCTGGAAAATCAGGAAGATCTTATTCACCTGCCCCAACATATTTTGCAGTAACTTTATAGCCATCAATTTCCATTGAACTCCATACTTCAGGTAATACATTTCCTGCAAATTCGAAATTAGATCTCTCTAAATGTTCATCAATTGTAACGCCACGTTCATCCAAATGCGCTCTACTCTGTTATACGCACTTCTTCCAGGAGCATTGGTAGCTAAAAACAATGCATCGAGATCATGTCGCTTAAAGTGTTGTATAGCAAACCCCATGACTTTTTGATAACGCGGATTTTCATCTGGCCCTCCATCAACCGTCATGATTATCACTGGTTTTACTAGTCCATGGTCAGTTTTAGCTAATGGTCGAAACTCTTCAAGTTTGAGAAGCGTCTCGAAATCCTGAGCATGAGTATTAGCAGTATATGAACTATGCTTTCCACTTCGAATAGGTTGGTCCAGAATATCCAATGGCTTGCGGTTGTCCTAGCATACTGGAAGTGATTTTGATACCAGCATAAACAGATGGTATTAATTTATGACGCTCAGCGATTACCCAATCGTGTTCAGGAAATTTGATTCTATATTCTATGTGCATTAGAAGAGGTGCTTGCTTATTTGCCGCAGTTACGACACTAGGGACTCGAGCTTTATCATCTTGAGATATGAAAAATAGTTGATCTGATCCAAGTATGGATGCTATGTTTTCTAAATAAAGGATTGATGTTTTAGCGAACTTGCTATCCAAGTGGCTCTTGTGGTGCTCAGTTTGAGCCCGAATAAGCTTAACAGGGACTGTCGATACATGTCTTCGTCCCTCTGCAGAATTAGATTTTCTGGGAATCAAACGAAGATATGTCCCACTGCGACTAATGCCAAATCCTATTTTACGTAATTCTTGTGTGAGCTCATTAAGAGTTTTTACGCTGCGAATAGATTCCGTTCGTCTATCATTTGCTGCACTCCCAAATAAAGCTATATCCGCAATTGTTTTCAATAGTGATGGTTGATTGCTTTCAAGATAAGGACGTCCCACTGAATCACTTAGAGATAGTCTTTTTTTTATTTCTGGATTTTCATGACAAATATCTTCTAACTTTCTTTTCTACCATCCCTGTGTTTCTTCTGTGCAACTGCGTTTTGAATCTTCCTGTTTAAAGACTGTTTTGCTGTTTTTATTTCCTCGCGCAACTTAATGATCTGTTTATCAACTTCGGCACGGCTTGGCATAGTATCTCTGGCAGAATACAAAGCATTCAAATTTTTTTCGAGTAGAGCCATCTTATTTTTCATGGCTTCCTGAGAAGGTTTTGCTCTCTGTTTATCTGCATTATCATTATTTTCGCATTGCTATTGTGATTAATTACCGGATTTTATTTTATCTTCTTCCTGTTTTTTAATATTTCTGCTAAGGATTCTCTTATTAAGCTACATAAATACAAAGTATGCAATAAAAAACTGCATTTAAAGATTATTTAAAGCCAGGAATCGAACTCATCACATACAGAAAACTAACACCCTATATAATGAATATTACCTCTAGACTTTGAGATAGGCCATAATATTTTCGTCACTCACCTTGGAAAAAAATGTAATAGATTTGGATTTATTCTTAGTCGCCGCTTGCAATTCTTCTTCAATTCCCTTAGATACAATATTATTTAGTTCTTTGTCGGACTTTGCTTGTAATTTATAATTTCGCCACACTTCTTTAACTAACATGATATTTTTTAAAATTTTCAAACAATTTTTGTTATAACTTGGATTTGTCTATTTGAAATGACATCTTATTTAAACATTAAACTTTGGCTAATGGAATCAACGGTAACACAAATAATGTTAACTTGCTTTGCTATGCTTACAATACGTCTACTCGCTATAGTATCCAAACGAAACAATACACTGACAGAGGAAATTTAGACGTATGCATTATTTGCGGAAATCCCCGAAAATGCGTTTCGTTTTGAAGCATAGACAATGTGAGGGTTGCCATTCGTGTAAAAAAAGTAAATACCTACAGATGAAGTAATCATCATCTAGACTCCCCTACCCCTCATGTCATCCAAAATAAGCAAAACAAAGACCCCCCTGCCCCCCCATAGTGCTTACGTAATACTTGAACGGCCCCTATAAAGTCTGTATTTCTGCTGTTTGTTTGGTAACCCATTTCTTGATGGTGTAAAATAGATTCCTTGATTATAACTGCACTTTTGCCACGTTATCTGGATGAATTTTTATATGCTTTATATTTATTGAATGAATCTTTGGTGAAATGTGTTTTAGCAATCATAAGTGTAGATGCCGTTACTTTTTGACATCTCACTCAACCAACATCCAGGTGTTTTTAATGCCTCTACAGGTTCCATTAGATATTAGAATTGAGAATGTCTATTTGTTGCTGTCCAAGAAGTTCCCTTAGTACATAAAATCAAAGTTAGAATGTTGATAATTTTCTATATTTGCTGTTTTTTCATATAATTCAATGCCTATCACGGTATTGGTCAAAGAAGTAGGAGGAAAACGGTTGCTTTATTATTTTGGGACACATGTCTTTAAAACCTTCTTGTGTTTCTTTATAATAAACCTTAAACCGAAATCCAAATAATTCAAAAATCGCTGTTTCTAAATTTCTAGTATATGTATTTAGAAATAGCAATTTTAAACTTATTAGGATTTCGGTTTAAGCTTTATTTTGATCAGTTTTATACAAGACATATAGGTAGAGCTATACATCATCATTAAGCAGTAGTTTTCATCCACTGCTGGATATAATATAGTCTCGGTATATTTTGACTCTAAATTTGATAAATTACAACCATAATTTTTAATGATAGGGAACCATAATAAAGTTAATTCATTAATCTATCTATAGGACTTAAACAAATATATTCGTGGAGAACTCAACGGCGAAAGAGAACTTCAAGTAATCCAATCCATAATTGGTTTCGCTTTAGAAAGAGAAGAACTCAGAGATGAAATTTTCGTCCAGTGCATGAGGCAGTCCACAAATAATCCTAGCACAGAGAGTACAGAAAGAGTCTGGCTCCTACTTTGTCTTTGCATAGTTTCTTTTCAACCATCCAAATTACTTTATCGCTATTTTGCGACTTTTCTTAAGAAGAATCTGTCTCAACCTGGAAGGATCAGCCAGTACGTGCAATGGTGTTTGGATAACTGCAATAATAATAAAGTGTCTGTGAGGGAGCATCCTCCATCTTCAGTTGAAGTTGCAGTAAGTACTTAGTTTTTTGTTTTAAAATTTATAGATATACCTTTTTTTTTACAAAACGATACAATATGAAAAAAATAATTAGTGAATCTTCAAAAATCAAACCAGAATGGAAACCGACGATCTCAAAAATCCCTCTACGAATTATTAAGACCATCGTCCTTTTTTTTTAATAAACTTCCTTCTCATATGGATGAAATATGTTGAATTTTAATTCTTTTTAGGCAATGAAAAGATTAGGTACAATAGTGTGCAGATTTTTCTTCTTGGATGGACGTACGAAGGCAATTGATGTCCATCCAACAGATACAGCTGGTGATGCTTCCAAAAAGTTGGCAGAACGTTTGGCTTTACGCAATTTAGATGGCTGGGCTATCTATCAGAGTCGTTCAGACGGAGAGGAACATGTGCGGGCACATCATTACCTCTATGACATTATTGCCCAGTGGGAACTGTAAGTATTTTAAGAAATTCTTCTTTTAAATCGAAATTTATGGACGAATAAGTAAATGTTTCAAATTAGAGGAGGTTTTCTCAAATATCAAGATTTCCTCAGTGATCTATATCTGTAATTGACTCTTTATTTTTTAATAACTCCATTAACAATACATATCTATAATAATCTAAAGAACTTTCTCTATCTTATTAAAAATGTTAAACTTTAATTAAATTTTAAACAAACCGCATGTTGTTAGCATGTTTTTTAGCCGTCTAAATTAAATATAGGAATATTTGATTCATATAATATAATATTACTCCTAATTCTATAATATGAACAGTCTTTGGATAAATTAAAATGTCCTGCTACCAAGAATAATAATATTTTTTCCTTATGATTTTCAAAGTTTATATATTGATTGAAATATTTTATCCATAAACATTGAGATAGGTATTTAATAAGTCTATGGTGTGTTTTCAGGAATCAAAATAAATTAGTTCCTTCAACTGGTTTATCGACTTTGGGAAGACGAGGTAATCAAGCAGTAAGTGGCGGAGAAAATAGGTTTATTTTTAAGAGAAGGCTCTTCAAATCTAATCGTGAACTTAGTCAAGATCCCGTAGAAGTTAATTTAATGTATGCTCAAGCTGTCCACAGCGTTGTGAAGGTAAGATAAAAAAGAAGGCTATTTAGCTATAATTACAACTAAAAAATTATCTTCTCTATCAATATTAAACAAAAATTGGAAAACATTCCTCTAGAAATAAAAACAATGCATTCATTTATATTGAACTCTTATATTCTAGAATTTAATGTAAGTCGATTTTATTCCATCATGCTCTGGATAAAAAATCGTGTAAATATTTAATATACCACCTCTTAAACTAAATTTCTTTATATAAGTTAACAAAGTATGAACACATTCAACTTTTTTATGAATCAGAAATATTTCCTTCCTGTGTTTTAATTGTAAATGTAAATTATATTAATAATTATTCATGCAAGAGAAAATGAAACATTCAATTTTTTATCTATGTCATGTTAAGGGTTAGAATCTGTTTCACGAGAAAAGAAACCAGCTGAAATTGCAGTCGTATGCGCGAACGTGTCATAACTAGCGCCATATTATAAATTTGATGTTTGGCTTCAAATCAGTAACGTAACCATTTCGTTTTTAATGCTTAAAAAATATAAATATTGGGAAAATGGTATTGGTCAATTTTCACCCATTTTGATACAAGAAATGTACATATTAAAAAATCAAACTTACAAATCCGTTATATAGTCTCTATTCATTGTGTGATATAGAAAGAAATGATCACTTTCGTGGGTTTTTATCGCATGAATCATTCAAATGGTCAATAAAAATAAAAAAAAAAAAACGTGGAAAGTTATTGAATTAGCGTGTGTAATTTGGAGATAGGGGTGAAAATGCAACCCTTAGAGTTTTTTTAATTATATCTCGAAAACGAAACAAAATTCAGGTATAGTTAATATATACTGAATCTTTTATTTAAAAAAAATTTTAGGTAAAAATTATAAAAAGAATTTAAAAAGCAAAAATCCATTTTTTTTTTTTTACTTTTTGGTTATAATTGCTTTCTGATTAGAAATAAGTGTAGGCATTGCTTTATAAAAAAAAGTAGATTAAATTTCCTATAAAATGGTGGGTTATAAATGTTTTTCGGTTAAAAACGGACTAAATATATCATTTAAGTATTAAAAAAGATAAAAAACACAAAATAGGAAAAAATTGTTTATTTTAATTTATGAATGCTTGAAAAATATTGGTTAAATGGTTTACTCAAATAACTGGCAAAAATCATTGAAAAGTTGGAACTCAAATGCCGTAATATGTAACTTTAGTATTAAAAATTTTGGGAAGCAGGGATAAATATATAATTTTTTTAAACATTTTACATCTAATAACTTTAACGAAATAATGCATGTACAATCACAAATCTCCTTCCTTTTGAGATTGGCTTCTTCAGACCTTTTCCTGATTTATCACATTATCCCTTAGATTGCACATGTGAGCTGTGACTCTATGTTTCATAGATAATATTCCAGCTTTCAGTTCTATATTTAATAACATTTTCTATGAAAATAATTCTTTTGAAACGAATATCATAGGATATCTTGTGTGCGCTGCCATTTACAATAAAGGCATTGTTTTTAATTTTGTTACTTATTAATATTTTTAATATTGTAATGTCTATTCTAATTCTATATTAGAAGTTTTATTTTCAGTAAATTCAGGTAGAATAGTTTGCACTTTGTGAAAAATACCTAGAAAAATATCTTAATAAAAAAATATTTTTCTACAAGAATTATTAAAGTTAAAAGTCATTTAAGCCTATGTTTCCTGTGAATAACTTTACTATCTGTCAATAGTAGAATATAAAAAAACTGATTCAGAAACCTAATATAAAAATAACTATTTTATTTCTATCAAACTTACATTTTAAACTAGGAGCCCTTTTCTCCAGCATGTAAAAATCATAAACGATTTCCCAAATCTTTTCTATTTCTCCAAGTTTTAGTACTTCCAGTACTGATTATTTCCTCGGTCTCTTTTTTTGAGGAGACCCAAAGTAGATGCTCCTCTTAGCTAAGGCTTCCTTTTTAATTCTGGTGTAAGTACTCCTGCTAGCACCAGTTGCTTTTAGAGTTTGCTCTCTGCAATTTAAAAATATAAGTATAAAAATCAGCAATATTTACAATGTATGGTCACTAATCAAGTTAGTCATTAAACGTTCTCCAACTAACTGACAATTTTCTTAAAATGAGTTCCTCAAACTATCAGTTATAACATTTGAAGCTCAATTGGGATCTAAAATTAAGATCGCAGCGCCGTCTGTACTTGATATTTGAACTAATTGTTATGGCTTGTTATTGTTTACATTTTTGAGTTTGTAAACAAACAACCCATAAAAAGTATTTAATTTATATTGGTGCTATTTTAAGGAAAACATATTGTTAATTTTTTGTAATTAGACACTTTTATTTCAATAGTTTTTAGGTTAAAGTAAAATGTATATTTTTATTTGGTAAGTACCCCCTATTAATTTTGTTTTTGAGTTACTTTAATTAATTTATGTTAATTTGTGTTATCTTTTAATAAAATATTAATGTGTTTATTCTATTTTTAGTGAGATGTCTGAAATAAGGCTGTTTAATAGAACTTATGAAGTATATTAGTTTAGTTGAAAATTCCAGGAATGTTATTAAAGAAGATGCTATTTTAAATGCAGGCCACTAGTTTTCCTGTGGAAAGAATGAATTTAGTGATAAACATATATCTGTTTATGCAGTTGTTCTCCAAACTAGTGCATTTAATTCAGATCCCCATATTATTGTAGGCCAGTTCTCATTCACAAGATGTTAGAAATTGGTGAATGGCAATGTTTGTTTTAAGCTAGGAACAGTGGACAGTGCAAACATATTTCAGGAGTCTTAATAAAGTGTTCTAGGTGTAGATATACTGTTTCAAAGAACTATCAAGCTAATTTGATTGAATACCTTATGATTTTGTTCTACACCCTCATGTATGTTATTTATTCTATGCACTGACTACAGAACGGAAAAGTAGGCCATTGAAGGAATATATTTATCCATTCTATGAAGAACATTGTACAGTTATGAAATCCACGAATCACAGTTCATATTTGATCACAAGGATACCATTATTTTTCTTAAATTTTAAATGAGTGACAATTCTGTTAAACTAATTTTCAGTATATGTTTTAGTTATTGAGATTAAATATAATTACAAATGATTATTGTGAAGAATCGATAAGTAATGGCACTACACAAGATATTCTTTTATATTTTCAAATAAATCTAAAATCACTTTATGATTATTAAAAAAAACATGTGTCCTTGGTAGGGAAGCAGAATATTTATGGCTTTACTTTTATGTTTGCATAAACTATTTGATAATCTTCAATGTTCCATAATTTTATTTAACAAGATGTTTTAAAACAGATACAGAATAATTGTCCTTTTAAAATCATCTATTAACACAAGTAGGTACTATTTTTTTTGGTCTGTTAGTTTTTTGATATAAAATTTACTTAGTCATAATTTTAATTTCTAGTTTGTACTAGTTTTTAGTCTTAATATTTTTATATTATTTAATTCATGTTACTTATTCTTTTACAAATGTATGACACTTCGCAAGTGTTCTTACTCTCACCTCTTTAATGCACTGATGTTTTTAATGTTTGGATATTGTGTGAATAAATTATATTAATAACATAAGTAACTCATGTGATCTCTTCTTTAAGACATTAAATGAAAATGTACAGCTTGAAATTTATGATTGATTTTGTACTTGAGAGAATACTCTTTTTAATAATTACTTTTATTATTCTTAAGTTTACTAGTCATTGTGTACAGTTACATTTTGTAATGAGTGATTGTACATTGATAATGTATTTTTGTATATTTTTTATATTATTCTGTAATGGAATAGTTGAGTCTGTTGGTAAAAAGGCTATTATTATAAGCAATAAATATAAAAATCAAATATTTTTTTATTTTTCCTGTTAAAATATGCCAATGTTTACATAATAATAAACGTTCTTTACAGTTACAATACCCAATAGGCCATCTTCTGAAGTAGTTCAGCTGATTTCACTGTATTTTCTAGTACAGTATGTTAAAGTTATTAATGCCAGTGAATGAACAAAACTGTCAGATTTTAAAAGATCTGAAATTGTTTTAATTTTTGGGGCATGCACTTGTACACTAATGTCAAAACACTTGAAAAAGAGTATTTGCAACCTCTATGTCTTGTTTGGTGTGAGTAGCTAGGCTCACTCTCAACTATGACTTGTTTATTCTCACTATCACATTTAACACTGATTGAACTTTTTTAGTTTGGATCTTCTTTTTGTTCTATCAATATTTGATTTTGAGGTTTATCGAACAGAATCATCAAACATTTACTTAAAAACTGGTAGGAAGGCACAGCGATTTTTTTTAATATTTATTTTCACTTTGGATGATGCATCTACAACACAAAAAAGGTAAAATAAAAACATTCAATCGAAAAATAAATCTATATTACCTCTAGGCAAATAATTATCTTCTTCAAAATGCTGTGCATGGGAACAAACTTTCAAATACTTTGATACTGGCTTCTCAACTTTTGTAACCATGCATTTCTTGCAGAATTTCCACTTGCATTTTATAAAAATTACCCTACATTTACCAATTTTAGGAAGCAGACGAAATGTAAAAAGAAGGGTCCATTTGTTTTAGGGCTGCATTGAGGCACACAAGTGTGTTTTTCACTGATATTCCACTTATAGTCCAACTAATATAATATTTTAATATTTATGATAAAAATTTAAAGTATTAGCTTATTATTAAATAAGATATTTCAAACAAAATACTTGTTAAATTTTAAAATAACATTTATTGACATGACCTGATAAATAAAACTTGACAGAACACAGACGGTCAAGTGTCAAATGCCATAACTTTTAGTTCACAGTAGAGGGCGTATCGCTTATCTTCAGATCCCAATATACTAGCAAAAGCTGTTAACCGCTACAGCGTCTCATTCGAAATTAAATTATGACTAAAAACAAATAAGATTAAATTTCAATAAAATTATATAATAGGTAGTAATGAATATCAGTATTTTTTCAAAATTTATTTTAATTTTTATTTTAAGGAAAATAGAGGTATATATCAAAATAAGAAATAAATGTATATATTTGGCTTTTTCAATAAGTCAAACCCTGATCAGATATTCAAAGAAATGTAACACTATATAAGCTTGTCTTGCAAATATACCAAGTCACATAGTTTTTCTTTGTATAAAATAACAAATATTTTCTTTACCATGTAAGTCGAACATTTTTTAGCAGAATTCATTTATTTTTAAATTAGAATACTTCTATTCTAAAGATGTTATTTATATCAATCTCAATGCTACAAGTTACTGACACAATTTAGTAATAACTATTTCACAAAATATATGTTTTATCTACGGATAAAATATTACACATACAAACTTGAAGTTTGTTTATAACAACATATGTAATTAGGCGGTGTAGTTATTGGTGAGGAGTAATAAAATACAAGTACGACTTTAAGTAATATATATTTCACCCAGCGGCAAGTTAGTGAGTAACTGGAACGATAAAGCCTGACTGACCGAGAATTAAAACCTAACAATTATTATGGTACATACAATCGAAAAAGGTCTATTATTTTCGATATACCTGGGTTGGTGTCCAGGATAATTTATTCCTAATTTCCTGAACTAAATAACCCAATAACACAACAAATGTTTCATGGGTTTTTGCAATTAAGCTTTTAAACCTAAATTATAATATTTCTAATGGGTGTGACAATGTGGCATGCCACCACAGGCGGTATATGCAGTAAGGGCACGAAACAACCGATCTTTTTTTGTCCAAAGACAATAATACCTAGTATATTACTAAGTATATAAATTCGACTGATCTGAGTAATAAATTACAACATTATTATATATATTATACTTTTTTATTCTACTTACCGATAATTTTGTAAAGGAATTTTAATCCCATTTTCGGCTTTCATAAAAGTGACAACATTTTTTATAATCTGTCTGCTTTAACTATGGATAATTTTTCATTTTATACCAACAAGTTTTTTTAGAAGACATGGTTTTAGATTAAATAAAACACACAACACACACTAATTTATAAGCGTCTCAAAATAGTCGATAATCGAAAATATTTAACCAATGAACTATTCCAAAAACCCAACCTCAAATGTCAACACTAACAAATAGTTCAGGGATCCTAGATCAAGTGAGCCTACATTCGTCCGAGCGGAGAGCGAGGAATGACCAACTTTCGCTCTCTTTTCGGATAGATAGGATTTTTGTTTTCCGGGACCATCTAAATGTCTCAAAATACATTTTTATATATAAACTTATCTAATAAAGAAAAAATAATAAATTTCTTGGAAATAGGTGGTTAGGGAATTGACCTCTGCAAGCCTACAAATGGTCATTGTAGAGCCAAAACCTCGTAACTCATATTTTGGCGTAACTGAATGTAATTTTTTAGAGATTCATTTTGAAGATGTAAATCTTTATCCATTTGGCATCTTTTTGACATCTTTTTGACTTTCCTTTTTCCATTAGACAAAAAGCTACTTTTATAAAATTAGCAATTACAGAAAAGTGTTTAGTATTTCTTGAAAACCTGGTAATTTAATGATACGAGGTTTTGACTCTACAACGACGAAATGCAACAGTCAGAAACCACCGCTGAGACTGTCAAGTGTCAGTCGTCCGCCATGTTTCGGCCGAAGCGTTCCAGAGTTGGATTCTACAGCATAATTCAATTATATGATTAATTAAAAATAATTGTTTTTACATAAAAATGTAAGGTTCGTTAGTGCCAAGCAGCTTGTTTAAAAATATCGTGAAAATAAGTCGCATTATCGTAACATCATGAGATCTGGGATCCCTGAAATAGATGGTTATCGGCAAAAATGTTCGTTCTACTCCAGTGGCGTGACCCTGTCGTTACTAAACGACGCTAGGTAAATAAGACATAATTTTGTTTCTGCGACTGCCTTTGTTGCAACTTCAGCTGGCTTCTTTTCTCGTAAAAGGGATGCTAACTGCTGGCAAGTCTCTTTTTTGCTATAATTAAGATTTTATTGTAATATCTGACTGAAATACGGACAATACTAGGGTGGAAACTAGCGGTAATTAGCAAACCTTTCTCCGGAATCTTGAATATTGAAAGAAATATCCAGATTCCAAAACTAGACTGAAGACTAAACTACCAACGATGGATTATTTCGCTTCACGACACTAGCTGACCGATATTGATAAGCTTTTTAACCACAGTGCGCCTAACGAAAATCATGAAAAGGAGACTTTGATGAAAATTCGGAAATTTTATATTTTTCGTATAGAATATTTTGTATTTAGAAAAATTAAATAAATTCTAAAAGGTACTAGACTGTAGGTTCATTACACCATATTTACAAATGTAAATAAAGATTTTTTTGAATGTGTCAGTACGGTTACAGTCTAGTAAGAGGATGCCTTAATAAAGTGGAGCGATATAACTTTATAAGAAATACACATTCTCTTTTCGTTAATATTACTGATAATTTTTTGTTTATTTCAGTGTGATGATTTTCCAGTAACAGAAAAGGTTGCTTTACAGCTGGCTGGGTTACAGGCACAAGTAGCTTTAGGAAATCCCAAAGACAATAATAAACTCGAATATTATAATGACATTGACACATATCTACCATATAGGATAAGTAGAACCAGAGGGGACGACGTATGGGTAAGATATCATTTTTTAGTTCATAAATAATATGGGTGATAGTAATAGTTTCAAACTAGTGAATATTTTTATTAAATACGATCTAAAATAAAAAAAAGCATTGTAAAAATCAACCGAAAAAATAAATTTTTTAATGAATCGTGAATATGAATTATTCGTTAAATTCTTTTAATCAAAATCGAGACAAAATGCTATAAAACAAGATTGACAGGGTTTCTAGGTCAACTTTATGTTTTTGAAGCATAAAAGTATACTCTATTTGCGCCTTTATAATTTATCCATCATTATTTGAAAAGTATTGAAGCGGTTGACAGTTCATTGTTACCGATTATGCATCCTACAACGATGAACACGATCTTTTTCTCGAAAATACCTTATGGCTCATTTGTTCTTTTTAGGTCCCAATTATTGCTCAAGCTCACCGACAATACGGTGCAAATCGTTCTGAACTAACAGCCAAAGCTCTCTACCTGTCCTGTGTCATGCAGTATCCTCTTTACGGAACGACGATGTTCCCGGTAACCTACCGAGGTTACTGGTCTTACGGAAACGCCTTAACATTAGGCGTCAACTGCGAAGGTATCATGCTGATTAAAAACGACGATAAATTCGTACTAAACGAATTCCACTATCAAGATGTCGAAAGTATTCTTTTGGATCCCAGCGATTGTTTCATAACTATTACATTACAGAGACAATTAAATGATAGTAATCATAAATGTTATGTATTTGAAACAGCTCAGAAAAATGAAATAGGATCGTTAATAGCTAGTTACTGTCCTTCGTTAGCTGGTTGGCTTACCGAGAGTGAAGCGCCCTTAAAGAAAACCAAATCTATTACTAACGAGGATAGAGTGAGGCTTTATCACAACCTTGTCAACTGTAGACGAGCTTTGGTTGACCATGATATACTTAGAAAACCGATGGATACATCTGGAAACTTTCTACGAAATACTTTGAGAAGGTTGAGCAAGCATAAGCTGGATAAGTTGAGACAAGAACACGGAGGGGACACTGGAGAGACTTATAAAGGTTTTCATTACGCTTTTTGGGCGTTTAGCAGACAGCCGTTGCCGCAAAGTATTAGCAGGATTCCAGAACCCGATGAGCAGATTATGTTACAGGTCTTCCAGATTATTTTAACCTATGCCGGTTTAGGACAAAATGGTAAGATTTTTTCTATTTCTTTTATATTTAGAAATTAACAATTTTATTTCTGTTTCTTTATTAACTATGATTTTTGGATGTATGCATTCCTTAGATCTTGTTTGTTTTTGTTTGTAGCATTTAAAACAAACGCACTATTTTTGAAATTAACATACATGGTTTTTCTTCATTTTTTTAACGTAATGTGATGTTTATAAAAAAAAATCTATAGCCTAACAGGAAAAAAGCAATGGACTATAAAACTCATGGGAATTTTCTGGTTTTAGAAATTAGAAATTATTTATTTAAAAAAATAATTAATACCCACATATTTAGTCATGCATAATCGTTGGAAAATCGTCTATTGACGACTTCACGTCCTTTTTATCTTACATTTCTACAATTTTTAAATTAAATTTTTTATAATTTTTACAGGTGAGGTTATTAGAAGGGTCGAAGATGAACATGTCACACTTCTTCAAACTATCCTAGAACGTTGTATGAGGAAAGAATCTCTTTTATGTGAGCTATATTTGCAACTTATAAAACAAACTACGGATCATCCGGATCCCAATTCCAGAGTTAATTTACGACATTGGGCGTTACTGTCGTTGGCCTGTTCTGTTGTTTTACCTCCCAATAAAGCTATACGCAGGTACTTAATCGCACATTTGAAAAGATGCAGTTCAGATTTTGTGACGGAAGAGGGAAAATATGCAAGGTAAAAAGATTTGACAATTCGTTTAATGTAAATAAAAATAATAGGTTAAGTTTTACTTTATACATTTTTTAACCAAATGTAACAGTTTAGTGAAATTGTTAATTTCTATATATATTATAAGAAAATAACGATTTCTTTTTCTTTTTTAAAATTAGAGCATATAAAACATTGTAACCACTGATGTTGGTTTTACAATGTAAGTGTTACAATTTAATAAGGGTCGTGGATGGAGCACTTGGTTATAATAACTTAATTACCCTAAAATTAGGAAATGGGCACCACCGTAGTTTAATTCGTATAAAAGTAATTCATGAAAATACGGAAACAAAAATTACTATTAAATTTTAATTAAATATAATGGATATGCCTTCAGAAGATACGGTAAAACCAAATTCTAATCTATAAGAGTTTCTAATAATAAAATTACTTTAAAAGTTATCTATTTCAAAATAGTATTCGGTACAATATAAATTTTGACTTATCTCAACGAGGTAGGGGTTCATCAAGGGACACAATAGGTCTCATCTACGATGAAAGGTTTCCAAATCAGCAAATCCTTGTAGCCTTCAAATAGTTCAGCCTTTTTGACGTCAATCATTCATTATAGTTTTTTTGACGTTGATTACCATCCAAATCAGCAAATCTTTCTTCATATAATCAGGTAAAGAGCTTCTAAATCATTCTTCATATGATAATGACATCAAAATCATTCTTCTAAATTACACCATTCAAATGTTGCCATGCTAAAAGATTTCGACATTTTAATGGATAAATCGGATAGTTAAGACGGTTGAGACGAACGTTTTGAATAATAAAATAAAATACACTTCCCAATAAATTAACGCACCATCAAAAAAATAACAAAAAGTTTAAAGTAAATATTTGTCAAAACCACTTGTCTAATTTGGACAATTTTTTTAAATGACAGACTGTCTCTTCCACAAAGTTGGTGTGCTAACTGTGTTTGCATAAAACCCACTTTTTTATTAATACAGGGTGTAGCAATTATAGCGTGATTTTTTTCATAAAAGTTGTAACACCCTGTAGATTGCAACAGTTACATTACCAAGTTCGCATTGATATCACAATTTAGCCTTATCTTCTCTTGACAATTTATTTTTTTATTTACTCCATTATGTTCCCTATTACACGAGAAACTTAATTTTATAACTTAACATGACTATTAATTTTCATTAGCATTATAAGCACTAAAGTAAGTAGTATGCTATGGAAAAACCATTAATTGTCAAATACAGATGCGTATTGTCAGTATTAGTAAATTCGCCATTTTGTGCAAAAAAATTATTAAACAATATGCCACGAAATCTTACTAGCGAAGAATGTGCTTTAATATTGTTTGAAGAGGGTTGGAGTTACCGAAGAATTGGTGAACGATTTGACGTAATCCACGCAAGCGTTTCACGAGTTTAGCAAAGATATAGAGAGACTGGAAATCATGGTCGTAGGCCGGGACAAGGAAGAAACCAAGTAACTACTCCGATTCAGGTTCGATTATTAAAACTGTCAGCATTAAGACAATGTTTTGTAACAGCTCAGACCCTTCAAACCCAGCTTCGGGATGCTAATGGTTTAGAAGTTTGTACAGAAACTGTTCGTCAGCGACTAAGGAAACATAATTTGAGGCCTAGAATAGCTGCTCGAGGTCCAGTTCTAACTAGAGTTCATCGCAGAGCAAGGCTACATTTTGCTAGATAGCATCGTAACTGGTTAGAGGCTGAATGGCAACGGGTATTATTTACTAATGAGTCTCGATTTTGTCTGTATAACAATGACAGGCGTATGCGCGTATACCGACGCCCTAATGAACGGTATGCTCAGTGTAATTTCTCACATACAACATTATTTGGAGGAGGATCTCTGATGGTCTGGGGAGGCATTTCTTTGACTGGTCGCACAGAACTTGTAATCCTAAATGGAAGCCTTACAGCTGACAGGTACATATTGGAGATTTTAGACGAACATGTAGTTCCATTTGCACCATATATAGGGCAAGGATTATTGTTGATGCAAGATAATGCCGGGCCTTATGTTGCTCGAGTTGTGAAAAAGTATCTAGAGGAAGTCGGTATCGCTACCATGGCATGGCCAGCTCGGAGCCCGGATTTAAATCCGATAGAAAATCTCTGGGATACTCTTGGGAGGAGATTACAAGAGGAACATAATCTGAACTCTCTGGAAGATATACGGCAGAGACTGATTCAAATATGGAAAGAACTAGACCAAAATGACATAAGGTCTCTTATTTTAAGTATGGGCCACCGTTGTCAAGAAGTTATTCGTGCCAGAGGCGGAATTATTCGCTACTGACACTTTCGTCTAACTTATTTCGTTACATTTTGTTTCGTGTTTTCATTATTAAATTTTGATATTAATTTTTAATAAAATCATGTTATGTTTTAAAATAGTGTTTCTCGTATAATGGAGTAAATAAAAAGCAAATTGTTAAGAAAAGATAAGGCTACATTGTGAGATCAATTCTAACTTGGTAATGTAACTGTTGCACTCTACAGGATTTTACAACTTTTATGAAAAAATGGCGATTAATACACCCTGTATTATTAAAAAAGAGGGTTTTATGTAAACACATTTAGCACATGGACGTTGTGGAAGAGACAACCTGTCATTTAAAAAAAAATCGTCCAAATCAGACAATTGGTTTTGACAAATATTTACTTTAACCTTTTTGTTATTTTTTGATGGTGCGGTAATTTATTGTGGAAGTGTACATCTATTTTACAGAAACTAATATATTTAAAACGTGTCGACTTGGTAATCATGGCATGAAACAAAAAATATATCTAACACCCTATTTAGCCTAATGGTTCTTAGAAGTGAAAAAGAACCTCTTTATCAGAAAATCAGCTTGATAGAAATTAATTCAACTTCTCGATACCAAATTTAGAAAAGAATGACTTTCGATTGACAGACACAATTATCATTGCAAGGAAAGAGATGGGACAATAGCGGTGATTGAAAAATAACGCAATAAAAGACATACCGTTACACACCTAAAATAAGTATCAAAAAACCGTTACTAAGATTGTATTTAAAAAAAACGGACTTTAATCGTTATTGATGTAATAAATAGTAATGTAGGTATTCTGGGTGTCCCCTCATTGATTTCGGTCTTTCTGTGATTTTCCGACGCACGTTGTAGACTCGGTTGCAGTTGCCAGATGTTTGTAGTTGATAATACCATTTGTTCGTAGTGGAAAAACTTTGAAATAATTTTAAAACTTTTTTGAAAGAAAAGTCATTCAAATTAAATCATTAACTTAATTTCATATGAATTTTGGTTTAAAGTAAATTTAAAATAACATATCTTTGGTGACATTTTGTATTTCTAGGTTTGCCGAGAAATGTTTGTCAAAAACGCAAGGAACAAGGAGACGACAGTGGCCACCATCCCGGGAAGAAATACTTTGTACTATAAATAGAAGACCTGTATATGCCAGATTTCATTTTATGGATGGACAATACCATTCTGTAGAATTTCACCCGTCCGCTACAGCCAAAGACGTTCTCGAAGTAGTCAGAGACAAGATTGGCCTCAGTGAAATTGCAAAAGGTATGATAGAATAACTTATTGTCATCGTTTAACAACTTTTTGTGTGATAATTTATCTGTTTTGTGTCTTTCTCGGTCTTTTGTTTTCTCTTATTTGAGGATAATATTTTTTATGGCAATAACAAATAAATTTATTCTAAACAGATTGTAACTTATCTATAAATACTAAGTAACAAGGATTCCAAATTATTGATCCAAACATGAGTACACTATTAACGTAAGCCTCTGATTGTATGAGGATTTTTAAATTCGTAACTTGTTCTTTAAATAAAACCTAATGCTTTATTTGCTTTACTAGTGATATAATATATATGATCATCAAATCCTTTACTTTATCCACTGTTTGAAGTGTAGATTCATTAATGATGTAACTCTTATGTAAATAAGTGTTACTTCGAGTAAACTGTATATAACTACACTTAGATGTATTCATAAACAAATTATGTTTTCTACAATAATTGCAAAATCTATCTAGATCTTGCTGAAACAAAATCCTACCAAATAAGCAAGTTATAGAATGATAAATTTTTAGATCGTCAGCGTACATGATAAATTTCGCGAATTTAAAGCAGTTACATATATTATTGACATAAAGGTTAAAGAGTAACGGCCCAAGATGAGATCCTTGTGGTACTCCTGATGTAGGAATGATAAATATAGATTTTATTTTTTTATTATACTTTTAGGTTATGCAATATACGAAGTGCTCGGAAATTCCGAACGCAGTTTAGCAGCGGAAGAGAAAGTAGCTGACGTTATGGCAAAGTGGGAAAGATACCGAGCAGCAACTACTGCGAACGCAATAAACAATGCTGGTACAGCGAAAAGAGCGAGACCACAACATCATTTCTTCCTTTTCAAGAAACATTTATTCATGGACAATTTCATTAATTTGAACGATAACGTCGAAAAGGAGTTGTTGTACCATCAAGTCCTACATGATCTGAGAACCGATCGGTTTCCTATTACAGACAAAGAAGCTGTAAGTTTGCTTATCATTATTTAAATAAGATTTATTAATAGTATTATTTTTATTTTTAGATGATGTTGACAGCTCTTCAAGCTCAATTAGAGCTCAGCGACTTAGGGGATGTGATCCACGACTATAGACCTATAGCTGCACATTGCTTACCAGCACGCATGGTACCTATTTTACCTAACGAAGGAGTACAAATGCATCACCAGTCTTTACGAGGAATGACACCTTCTGAAGCTAAGCAGGCGTTTTTGAATCTCATACAGAGCTGGCCTCTGCATAAAGCTACAATATTTGATGTAATGGTAAGCAATGCATTCTGTTTTGCCAAACATTTTGAAGATTTTTATTCTATTTACTATTTAATCTAATTTTTAATAGAATACTATTTGTCTTAAAGATAAATAACTTTTCAGGTTATGCCTGTTTCACATACAATTTATCATCATAACATTTGTTTTTTTTTCCTGGGCTCGTCTGACTATGTGTCTCCGAATAACACTGAAGCCTATTGGCTTATTGTGTTTTACCCCATGTTAGTTCATAGCACCCACTCTATCACCTTTGTACCTTGTACAAGTTTGTACAGATTCTTGGGTGAGTGGGTTCTATACGTTGTTGGGTCAACCTGGGGTTGTCCAAAAAGAGCCTGTCTTTTGCGATCTCAGAGCTTCGCATTCGCACAGTATGTGTTTAACCGTTTCTGGTTTCTTGTGACAACATTTGTTATACTACTATGAAATATTTCACTTTGGCAATTTCTTGGAGGGTCGATTGATTCTAAATAAACGAGTATGACTTCATTGCTTTCCAAATTATCCTTCTTATTGATAGTATGTTTGATTAAAAGTTACCTCCAATTTTATTACTTCAATAAATTCTATCCGAATGTTTATTATGAATTATCTGCTGTATTAATGTTATTTTCATACTTGAGACATTACTTATTTTTTAAAGGACCCTACAGTTTCTTTCTGAAACTTTGGTATGTTGTTGTACTCAACCTAGTAACCAAAAGTGTCAATGTTTAAGTAATACACAAGTATATACGTACTATTAAAAATATTTTTAATTACAGAGTTATTCACAAATGTATGTTGGTAGTTTTTTTACAAAACTCACTAATTCTACTGTAACATCAGGGAAGAAAAGTACTACTCAATATAGTATTTTGGCGATAAAATATTGCGTAGTATACATTTCTTATAGGGAGAACCACAACCTATAACTGTATTTTTTAAGATATAATTTAAAACCCTGTACTTGTGAATTGATTTTTGGAAAAGGTAATATTATTTAAGCTTCAAAATATACAGGGTGATTTATTTGTTGGAAGGTATTCTATTTTAAGAAAAGTACAAAAACCACAAACATCCTGTGTAATAAAATTTCCCCTGTCAAATGTAACCATTCCATCACTGGTTTTCGAGATAGTGGAGAAGTACTAATTTTATTATTTTTTTCTTCAAACTGAAAAGCTAAATTGTTTTTATATAGAACATAAGTTTAATATATAAGTTTTGGTAAGATGTTTATAAAAAAAAAACAGTTTAAAATATTTACTGTAGTGGGTAATTCACGAATGAATCACAATATATTTTTGCAAACACTCAATAATTGCACCATAGAGAAATTATTGCATTGAGTTAATGTCTACCCGTTCACAATTTTGAAGTAAAAGATTTCGCTATTTGATTTTTTATACAGGGTCAGCTATGCAGCCATCCACCAATAATAAAATGTATTTTAAAATTATTAAAACGATACCTTGCATTTCTTTAGGGACATTTGAGAAAAATAATAACATTATTTTAAGTATGTAACCATAAGATTTTAAAATATATAGGGTAATCTAACTGTTTTATAATTACTTATAGTTTATTCGAAGTCAATTCGAACAGCTAAATAAAAGACTTATGTACCGGGTCTGATAAATTTACTAGTTAATATCATATAAAACCTCCCATATAAAATTGATGATTAGACCTCGTATGAATTTCTTATCTCTCACTCCTGTATCTAATCAAACAAATAATATTGCATTGACACACAAGCAAAATATGAAAATAAAAAAAATGTCAGGTCCACTGTAAACATCGTTGTTTGCATTTTCGGGTAAATTGTCAGTGCAGTGGCTTGAGTTAGGATTTATAAAATTAATTTATTCTGCGTTCTTGGGAATTTTAGTGAATGGCTTGCATTAGTGTCGTGTTTTTCTAAATTGTTTTCTTGTGGTCATTATTTAAAAAAGATAGCGTTGTGGAGACCTTTTCGTGATATTTCTGATATTGAAATGGACAATGTTAAAGCCCCAGTTGAAGATAATTCTATGAGGGAACCGTCAGAATTAAAAAAAAAGACTTATTTTAAATATTTACACTTGCTTGAAAAGTGAAATGCGTGGGGCATCACAAAACAAAATTTTGAAAAGGATTTAAGAGCTGACTAAACTTGCTCATACTACAATTTATACTGTTATTAGAGGAGGAGATATTATTGATCATTCCGTAAAACGAAAAAGAGATAATCTGAAGCTTAAGAAGGTTGATAATGCCGACAAAGAAGTTATACGGCGAGTTGGACATAAGTTTTACGAAGAAAACAAGATTTCAACTTTAGAAATGGTTCGTAATAAGTTACGGGATTATCCCGCTTATGAATATAAATCTCTAGACACATTACGTAATGTTTTGCTAGATTGTGGCTTCAAGTACAAAAAAGTGAATAAAAGAATGGTCATAATGGAGTCATCTCGTATCGTAGCATGGCGGCAGGAGTATTTACAAAAAATTAAGGAATACCGCCAATCAAAAAGAGAGATAGTATATCTTGATGAAACTTGGTTCGACACAGATGATCTTGTTAAATATGATTGGGTGGATGAAGGTAATAAGTGCTCTCTAAAGGGACCTTGTTTTCGCGGCAAACGAGTTATCATTCCACACGCAGACAGTAATAAGGGTTTTGTTCCTAATGCTCTTCTATTGTCAGCTAAAAATATAAAACAGTCATCTGCTGACTACCGCCAGTCTCTTTGAAAATCTTTCCCCAAATTCTTTTATTGTATACTGAAAAATAGTTACATTTAACCGGGAAAATTTTATTATACCGGGTGTTCGTGGTTTTTGTACTTTACTTAAAATAGAATACCTTCCAACAAATAAATCACCCTGTATATTTTGAAGCTTAGAGATACACATATTTAAATGATTGAACTCCTACAAAAATTAAAAATTAAGTATTTATTCAATAAATTTCATTTTCAGCAATCGTTCACTTCAAATTGGCCCCGAGTTCTCTGGCTAGCCGTTGACCAGAAAGGCCTCCACCTCTTAGAGCACCGTTCGCGCAACGCCCTCTGCACGTACGATTACAACAGTATTCTTAGCTACTCACCCGCACTAAACTGCTTGATGATAATCACCGGTAGCGACCGTAAACAAAGTAAAGTAATTTTAACAACTGCGCAAGCTTTTCAAATAGCTACTCTAATAAGAGAGTATACGGAAGAGTTGCACGGTCATGCCATGGATCTCAAAAGAGCCGAGCAACAGCCGAAGAGCCGACCAATCAGCGGACTACATCAGAACGGTCCCTTGGTACCGCCTCAGCCCAGCTAGAAGAGGGTTACTTTCGCAGACCAGGTGAGTAAACCGAGTTATTGAGACGGCTCGGTTCGTTTGGTAGAATTGTTTGTTCTTTTAAATGATTCTGAATAATTCAAGTGAAATAATAAGGTTGTGAATAAAATTTTTTTAAATATAAAATATAACGTGTATCTTATAAAATTAAGGGAAGGGTTTCAATTATTGATTAAAAGCCTACAATATTATAAAATTAGTGCTTAAAAAATGCCTTATGAAAAGAAAAAATACTGAAGATGGATTAATAAACAGAAACTAATTTACTGAATTTTCTATATTTTTTTTCCTAAGAGTTTTATCCACGTGTCTTTTATACACTGAAGTATATATAACATTTGTTTTATCATAATGAATTAGTTATACACAGAACTGTATTATTGCCACTAATAAATAGGTCCAAAAACATTTTAAATTAAAACAAAATTATAATTTAGTTAGAGAATCTATATAAATATCTCAAAAGTTATTTTTTTATATACAGAATAGACTCTTTAAGCTCTGGTATTTTTTAGCTAAAGATTGGTTTAAAATATTGCATTGTAAAGGGTGGTCCATGTAGGGGTTTCTTCTTAAAAGTTAAAAAAAATTAACAAATAATTTTTTTTTCGGTATATCATGAAAGAGCAAATATTTATTTAACAAGATTTCATTCATGTAGCTGCCCCGGCTGGCTTCGCAATAGCGCATCCTGTTAACCCAATTTTGCAAGACCTTGTTAACAGTTTCTGGCTCTATCTCATGAATGGCTTGCTCGATATTCGCCCGCAAAAAAAGTCTAAAGGCGTTAAATCGTAGCTCCAACGTGGCCAATTGACATCGCCGAGACAACTGATAACAGGATTACCGAACTTGGTGCGCAAAAGATCGATTGTGGCATGACGCACCATCCTGCTGAAACCAGAGATCGTCCAAGTCCATGACTTCAATGTCCGGCCACAAAAAATCGTTTATCATGCCTCTGATAGTCTCACCGTTGACCAAAATGGTGTCTTCAGCAGCATTTTCAAAGAAAAATGGGCTCATCGCTTCAAAATCGGCACCAAACTGTCACTCTCTGGGGATGTATTGGCTTTTCACAAATATCCGTCGAGATGAAAATGCGCCTCGTCAGAAATGATGATTTTTCGAGCAAAATCGTTGTCCATTTCGAGTTGCTCTAAGGCCCAAACTGAGAAGTGCACTGTTTGGGCTACACAACATTGACTTTAGAAATAAGTTTGCATTATTTCCCAAAGATGTTTGAACGTAAAGCGGTTCATTTCGTTCTGCGAAGATATAATATTAATCTTCTGTTAATATTTTGAGCAGGAAAGAGCTGTAACTGTCAAAATAACAAATGATTAAATAAAACTTAATGGACCACCCAACTTTTAAGAATGTATTGTGCAAAATTCACTCCAATTTTTAATTAAAGCTGCTGTCAAACATTCTTTTTCTTGCATCTTATTTTGACAATTACACAGGTTTACAAAAAAAAAGTCCGGACTATTTGACCGGACCATTGTAGTCCTAGGTATTTTGACGTCCTGAATCCGATCCCGGGGTCAGTTTTGCCCCATCACGACAGAAAACCCAAATTTCAAGGTCATTTAGAGGTTAAAATGGTGATTTTTCGGAACCAGCCCCGGGACGCATATTTACACATCCTCCTATATGACGGCACTGGAGTGCTGAAACCTGTTCGCATTTGTAGCCTACAAGTACGCTACAAAAGCTCATTGATTTAAACACCCATACAAATTTTATGTTATGTAAGACTTTACTTTTTAATTTTAGTTGTGTCCAGGCCGTTGGCGTCTATGCCGGTAGGCGTAGCCAGGTATGGGTTAAAATTTTTTGGTGGCGGCGAAGCCGCCACCCTACAAGAAGTCGTTCCTTCGTTTTATTCTTGTATATTTTCTTTTTTTTTAATCCCAAAACACTTCAAATGCGTCATTTGAATGACATCATGTCTATTAACGGCATTTTAGTACACGACCGTTTAACGGCAGTTTAAGTACAGCCATTGTTTCATAGAATGCAGATAAGCTTCCTTACTGATTCCAGCAATAAGAGAGGCCTCATGCATTGGTGCCTAAATCAATGAGCTTTTGTAGCGTACTTGTAGGTTACAAAGGCGAACAGATTTAAGCACTCCGGTGTCGTCATATAGGAGGATGTGTAAATATGGCTCCGGGACAATTTCTTAAGGGATCTGTTAAGTTAACGGGTAACTGTCTAGGTCGTGAATACCTTCCAAACATTGGACAAGGGCCATGAATATCGACCAGGATCAGCGCAGGGACAGCTCAGTCGATAAAATGTTACCATGATGGTTGTATCTCGGGAATTTCGATCTCCCTGCCAAGGTGTTCAATTTCGGCGATCCATTTGCTGTGAGATAATGCCAGTGAATCCAGCACAGACCCAAATGGCCCTAGAACCTTGCCAGAACATTGGAATTATGCTTCGTGTCCCGCTCAGGTCTGGCCCAAGGTGGAGAACTGGCTCAGGGGGTTACTAACTGGCGACTTTCTATTCCACTGCCAAGCGTCGATTGTGACGATGCAATAGCTGTGAGTTCATGACCGTCCACCCAGCATTAACCATAAGGACCCAGAATCTTGCCAAAATGTCTCATGCTACGTGTGCTGCCTAGGTCTGACCCAGTGGGTAGGAAGTGGTCCTGTAATTACTAAGTTACGAATTTCAAGATCCCCGCTAAGAAGCAAGAATTTGACGATAAATTTGCTTTGGTTGAACGGCGGTCCACTTAGCACTGATCTGAGAACCTATAGAATTCTCGACAACGGAAATACGTTCAATGGGCCACTGTCAGGAATCCCGCTCCCGAAATTCCCGGCGACAAAACTCCGTGACGATAGTGAAGTTAAGTTAGGTTGAGTCAGGTGAAACTCGGTTGAGTTAGAGTTGGTGAGGTCAGGTTACGGTTGGGGTCAGCTAACGTTGGCTAAGATTTATGTTGGCTGGTCCTGGTCGAGATTTGGGGACCGTTTCCAATGTTTGGAAGGTACTCAAAACCTACTCAGTTACCCCTCAACTTAACAGATCGCTTGAGAAATTCTCCCGGTGCCAGTTCCAAAAAAAATCACCATTTTGACCTCTAAATTACCTTGAAATCTGGCTTTTCTGACGTGATGGGGCAAAACTAACCCCTGGATTGGATTCAGGACGCCAAAATACCTAGGAATACCATGGTCTGGTCAAATAGTCCGGACCTTTTTTTTTTTTTTGTAAACCTGTGTTATTAGAAAATATCTATAGATACAAATTTAATCGTAACAGAAGACATATTTATTGGATTCTGTTTGGCATAAAGCAACTAATCTACATGATATTGAATCTGAGATATAAATGACTTTTTAATGTATAATTTAAAGATTATGGTTTGGATTATTTTCGAATAATACATAACTCGAAAAAAATTAATTAAAATAATGAACCAGATAATTGTATTTCAGTAAAAATAAATAAATATATTTAGCATGAATCATTTTCTTTTGCGTTTCAAGTATCTCGGATGGAATTCGTGAAATTTGTTTTTAATTAGAATTCAATACTAAATATGCATAAATGATTTAAGTCTCCTTGATTGCATTTGCTAAATTTATTTTAATTGTTTTGGGAGTTTAATACGAAATATGCAAATACGATTCAAGCCTCTTAGCGATTAAGCATAATTAAACAAGAGTCATTTACAAAAATGTGGATTAATATAAAACCAATTCCAGTATCTTGGATCGGTTTTGTTGATGTCATTATATTTGAATTTGAAATAAGGGTTGTATAAGCAATACATTTTTGATAAATCTCCTGCTAAAATAGATTGCATACTTTTTGCAGAATTAAAATAGTTATTTTTTGGTTAGTTTGGACAAGTTTATTAATATTTTTGACACATATTTAATGAATAACACAGGAAAGAAACATTGACCGTGAAGCATTGTCAAAGTACATTAGAAATAAATGTAGTTTTCTCAGTGTAGTGTAGTTTCTATGTAGTTTATGTTGCGTCGCTACAGTTTTCTCAGAGTACATCTATGGTGGCATTGAAGGTGAGATTAATATCTGTTCTACTTTAAAATGTCAACCGACACTTACTTTCCTTTTTGTGTTGTTCATCTATTATGTATTTTAGTTATTTGTGGATGGGATGGTTTATGCATGACAGCGTCCAATTAATGACGTCATTTTAAATGTGATCTAAAAAATATTTGAAACAGCTCACTATTAGGCATTTCAATGACCTGTCAAACAGTATTTTTCAGTGGGAAATGGTTGGAATATTTAAGGGGGTTGCGACATGTTCTTCCATCTCAAACGCTATTTTTATTCAAAATAGTAGTCGCCAAGTCTTCAATTTATGAAAAATGTATAAGCGGTTTTTAAAAAAATAATAGTTTCATTTTGTTTGACATAAAATATTTAAATTTAATTCATTATTCATAATTTCAAGTATTGTAGATAGAATACATGTCGCAACCCCTTAGATATACCAACCCTTGCCACCGTCAGTTCTTTTGTTTGGAATGCCTGTCAATACTAACATTGTAATGCGAGCCATTTCATTATTCAGTCATGCTCTAATACTTCAAGTCCCACATTAGTATTCACAATAAATTCTCCCTCTGGTAGTGGATAGCCTAGTATTGGTGCTGTTGTTACATGCTTCTTTAATGTTTTAAAGGCAGTTTGGCAGTCTTCGTCCCAGCAAAATTCTCTCGCTTCTTCTGTGAGTCGTGTTAATGGCTTAGCAATATCTGCCAAATTGTCTTTGAAGCATTTAAGAACAGCACCAATACTAGGCTACCCACTACCAGAGGGAGAATATATTCTGCCAGTAATGTGGGAATTGGAGAAGTGCTTTCACAGATCCAAGGGGGGAAAGAAAGACAGTTATCCTCTTCCTCGAATCGACGATACCTTGGAGACAACCCGCTGCAGAAAAACTAAAGTGGGTCGGCCTCTTTGAAATG